GTAAGCCACTAGCTTTGTGCTAATCTGTTACGGCAGTAATAGGACACTAATATCGATTTCTTCCTGTCCTCCCTCTAACTTGCCCTCCCCACTGCCCATTCTCCCTGGTGCACAGAGCAGGACGTTTCTACTTTGTTCCCTCATTTTCCCAAGTCATGGAGATGTTCTAGTTTTTCTTAGCACAAGCCTGTAACAGTGTTTGTCTAACAGGGTTGTCTGACCATGGGCACTCTTTGGCATATCATTAGGGTCCCTGAGTTTTCTATGAGAATTTAAAATTCTGTAATTTTGCTTCCATGGTTAGCTAAAAAATGAATATGTAATTCAACTTACACCTCCAAAGTCAGTCTCATCCTCATACGAACACTAAAAGCATTCTCATTAAAGTAAGAAATAAGACCAGGATATCCACTAGGACCACTCTCACTTATGTTATTTTGGAGGTACTGGCTAATGTTATTACACAAGAGAAAAACAAAAGATATATTTTAAAAAATTGGACAAGAGGAGGTAAACTTGTTATTTGCAAATAATATGATCATGTACCTGAAAACCTAAGAGAAAAAAACTGAAAAACTATAAAAATAATAAAAGAATTCATCAAGGTGGCTGGGAACAATATTAATGTATAGTAATCAATATAAAACAATAATTAGGACATATATAAATAATGGGAAAGCTTATTCTATTTGCAGTAACAACAGAAAAGATAAAATAAATAAGGATTAAGGTAACAAGAAATATGCAAAGTTAATGTGAAGGAAACAGAACAAAACTTGAAAAAGAAGAAAGGTATGCCATGTTTTTCAATAGAAAGATTTACCATGGCAGCAATGTCAAAATAAAGCCTTATGTGTTTAAGGCCTGGAGTTGGACTCGTTATTGGCCACCAGATGAGACTGATAAGATAAACAGTCTTGTTTCATTTTCTCTTCATAACATCATTCTCCAGCTGGCCTTTTGTATTACCTGGTCTTGTCTCAAGAGTTTTAGTCTTCATGGGGGATATGTAGGCTTCCCACTGGCAGAAGGAAGGTCATAGGTTAAGTGAGGCCTGATCTCTGGGTGGTCCAAGCCAAGCCCACCTTTGGACTGCCAGGCCATGGCAAATGAGGACTCCCTAGGAGATGCTGCCCTCTGCTGGTTGTCATGACTTGCCATGGGCACCTTCAGTCCTTTGTCTCACATACACATACACACACACACACTCGTTTAGGAACACCTATTTCCACAATACTCCATCTGGAACATCTTAGGTTTTATTATCTTGTTGATATAATAATTGCTACATAGTAAGGGTAATCTCACCAGGATCATAGCTAAAATAGCAATTTTTTATTATCTTCAACATGTCACCAGCCCATTCTTGGGCTATGTGCCTTTTGACACCATTTTTACATCTCTCTTACCTCCTGGGCATTTGTAGTTAAAAAAAATGCCACAGCTAATTATTATTGTCAAAGGAATTCTGGATATCATCAATAGGTAAGTTGGGTATTTTGTTTTTTTGGTGGGGGAGGGGAGATATGGGAGAAGCTGCTATTGCCACCCAAATGACTGGTCAGGCTAGTGTTGTGGGGGCGGGGCAGGCAATCAACTTCATTAGAAAGAATCTTCCATTCCACACAGACCACACCCTCCTTGAAGGCTGTTCTCTATTTCTAGAAGCCACTAGGATCTCTCTTAGCAGCAGAGCTAAGTCTGATTATTAGCTGTTCCTCCCTGCCTCCTTATCTTCTTTTTTCAGAGCATGGCACGTGCTAGAAATTCAATAACTGCCAAATGAACAAATGAATGGCATTGTGCTTTCACCAGCCTATATGCTGAAGCCTAGAGAGCAGGGAGACGCTGCTTAACAATTCCCTGGAATGGAGTGCCACCAAATCTGAGCAGCCCATTGGCATAGTACAGGAGATTTTAGCTTTGGAGTAATCATTTTTGAGGTCTCTATCTTTCATTGTGTATAATGCTAACTGCTGCTTTTGTTTCAGCCTCTTCACCTTTTTTCCCCTCTTATTTTAAAAGAAATTAAATCATCTAGGAGGTCCCTAAAATTATAGCGGGCCCTAGGCCTTGAGCCTTCTGTGCCTAACGGATAAGTGCCTGGGGGACCGATTGGTACATGTACTGACCATCACCCCTGGCGAGACTTAAATTGTACATGAGAAGCAGAACTTAAATGCCTCCAGGCAGGCGGGGTGTGGGGCATTTGTCCACTCTGTGTGTGGTGAAGGCCCTTTCTGAGAGGTCGCTATGACTCATCTCCACTGGATTGTTGCCAGACTTTCCCATTTTTCAAGAAAAACTGGAAATCCTGAGTATAAAAAAATAAAACCTCTCAATTTTAAAGTACTAGCCAAATTTCAAAGAAAAATAATCTCTCTGCTCAAGCCAAACAGAACACCTCTGTGGATTGCACCTGGCACTACTTTGTAATTTCTGTTGAACACAGTGGCAGGGAGGACCCTTAAAAACTGGTGACAGGTGGGGACTAGAGAACCAACACATCAGGAAGAGAAAAATGGCATGGTTTTAGTGTGATTGTAAAAACGCAATACTAATTGCAGTAAACTGTATGATTTTCTTACTCTTTACGAGCAGTCCCTTGGGAATAGTAATTGTGAATCTAATTAAAAATTTCAGATTCTGTAAAATTCCATTTGTATCATATTCATGCTATCTCATCCTCCTTAATTCTTGGTTTGAGTAATAGTCAAGATTTCATGACTTATATGTTTTAAGGAGAACTCTGCTCATAACCTTGATTGTGAGTTTTTAAAGGTGTATTTAATTAGGGGTAATACAGACCTATGTATTACCCGTAGTCAGGTCACATTTGTCTGACTTCCTTTGGGGCTTTACTGTATGAAAAAGAAGAGAGGGAAGAAGTTTGTGTTCTTTTAACTGTTTAGGGGTAAATATTTAGTAACAAGCATTTTTATGAGAAGTAGGACTTTAGGGATTTGAATGAAAAGCATGCATATATTCACTTTACAGTGACGCTCAGCCTGCAGTACTGCCAGAACAGGACGAGGCAAAGGCAATCCCCCTCCTCCCTTCCTCTCAGCTGATGATTTCACTTTCTAATCCTAGACTGTAAACAGACCACTAAGATCCAGGGTGATGAGTATCTAGAGCGGGAAAGCACAGGTTCCTATGGAAACAGAAGCAGAGTCTCTCACTTAGGCTTGGTGGAGGAGGGAAGTCTGAAAGTCTTCTTGGAGGAAGCGCCATCTTCAATAAGAGCAGAAAATTGATTAGCCTTCAATCAGAGGCCAGGAGGAGAGTGGGGGAAGAAGCCCACGACTGAAAAAGTGTGACAAGATCTGAGATTGGAAATAAATTCAGTGGGACTGGAGGTTGCAAAGCATCATTCCATTTTAATTTCAATGTATAGCACTTGTCACTTTCTGATCATTTCTTGTTTGTTTGCGTATTTGTTTATTGTGTGTTTTTCTACCCCCACCCCCTCACACAGAACAGGAGCCCTGGCCTGCTGATACCTCAGTGCCTGCCGAGTATGGCTGCTAACCTTTCCTGAGGGCCTGCCGAGTGTCAGATCTAAGTGCCTCCCTCACCACCACCCCAACCAACAGACAAAATGCTACTTCTTCAGAGTTCTCTCAAATGCTTCCTTCTCTGTGAAACCTTCCCCATCTCTTTACCTACCGCCTACCCTCACAATTAATTGCTTCTTCCAGAGTTCCCACAGCTATTGATTCTTCCCTGCAGCATGGGCTTAACTCCACATAGTTAGTTGGCTGTTCCCGTATTTGTCTCCCCCATTCTGCGTTGTTTTAAATCATATGAAGCAACGTGTTTTTGTCTCTGTATGCCTCTCAACACTTTGGGCAGGCTTTTATACACACAATGGGGCTCAAAAATATTTTGAATAAATGAATTAGGGAAAGTCACGAACCCTCCTTCTTTCTCCCTTCCCCTGGTCCTCAGAGCAATCTTTTAAAACTTAAAGTCCGACCATATCACAGCCCTACTTAACCTGTTGAAGGCCACGCCTCATCCTCAGAATAGAATTCTTACTCCTAAGCACATTGGTAACCTCCGGGCTCTGGCTGAACTTGCGCCCATCCACCTCTCCAGCCACGTTCCCCACTACACCTCGTCTAACAAAACTGGACTGCTTGCGGTGACCGCACAGTCGGCTGCACTGATCCATGCCACCAGGCTTTCATTGCAACTACTCCCTCTGCCTGGCATGCCTTTCCATTTTCCATGCCTGGCTCGGTTCAGGCATGACTTTCTCAAGCAGCTTTCCTTCTTTGAAGACAGACCCTATTAAGAACTTTTAAAAAAAGAAGTACTAAGTACAGAAAAGTGTATGGTGTTCCCCTCCATTTATGTGTTTAAAAGTGAAAACAGTACTAAACCTTAAAACGTAATTCTTAAATGATATACAACTTACGTGCTTGCCAGATTTGGAAAACCACCTATTTATCATTTTCTCTCATTCACCCTCTCTGCAGGTACCCATTTTGTAGATGCCCTAAACAATCTATCGGATCCCCCCAATGCCAGACTCTCAGGGTGAGTCAAATACTCTTCTCCGCTTGCCGGGCACAACTCAATGTTACAGTGACTTGAGCAGATTGCAAGTTTGCCTATCTCAGTAGGGTGTGAGCTCCCGAGGGGGCGCAAACACCATCTTTGTCCGTGGAGCGCCGGACCCCCTAGTTAGCCCCAGACTTATTTCCTGCGTTGAAAAGCTTCTCCCCAGCTGACCGGTGCATTTCTTCTTTAAGGAGCCGTTCCCTCCTCGCCCAGGAAGGAAAACTGGCTCGCCATCAAGGGTTGCCGCTGGGAAAAGGGTGAAATAGCAGCGGCGCCGAAAGTCAGGACGAAGACATTCCGCAAACTCCCGGCCCAGGAACCAGACCAACAACCCAGACGCCCACAGACGCCAGCGGCGTGGGCGGGGCCGGGGAGCGACTGACTCCGGAAGTCACGTGGCGCCGCGCCGCGCGAACGCCTCACCTCCGCAATCGACTATTCAGCCTTGCGGCGCCTCTGGCGGGCTCCGCCGAGATCCACTCTTTCGGCGCTCGGCTCGCCCGTGCTGCTGCCGCCGCCGAAGGAGGGGCAAAGCGCAAGATGGCGGACAAAACGCCAGGCGGATCTCAGAAGGCCAGTTCAAAGGTAATTTCTTAGAGGACTTCGTGAGTCAGTGGGTCTGTCACTGTCGTCTGGGGCCTGTCGACGCCCCTGGCCAGCTGGAAGGGCGTGGGGTGGGCGTCCGCGTTCTGGTCGCGACGGTCGGCCGGGCCGCCGACGCACGGTGGTGCGCAGGTTGAGAGGCCTGGTGTCTCTCCTTCGTCCCAGCCTGGATTGGGCTCCAGACTGGCGGGCCCAGGGGGCTGGCGTGGGTAGTTGGGCCCGCGCTCGGCACTCGAGTGCAGTCAGGGATTTAGATGGAGGTCCAGAGCCGCGAAAACGCGCTCGTGTCTTTCAGCTTGTTGCGCCCTGGGGCCGCCGGACAGCGCCTGGGAGAGGCGGGAATCGCTTCCCCGGGCTTTGGGGTCTACGTCTCTTTCGTCGGCGCTTTGGTTTTGGATCTCACACGCTGCCGGCCTCCCTCCGTGTCCTGCGCGCCCTCCAGAGCATAAATAACCTCTGGGGCGCAAGTTGTGCGGGGAGGACCACTAGCGGAGGGACGCGGGGCGGGGAGTGCAGAGGCGGGAGCAGCCCTCCTTTGCGGTGCTGCATCGCCAAGGTGAATGCTGCGCGCTACACGTGGTCTTCCCTCCCCTGAGAGGAAGCGTAAACTGAGCTCTTCTTCTGGGGCTCGTTTCCGAGGACTCGGAGACTCCTGCATCTCCATGTTGTGTCTTCTACGGAAAGGAGAACTTCCGAAGACTTGGAAGCCGCCTAAGATTAGCAAATCGCGTTTGCGTTCGCAGGGAACCGTGTGCACGTATTGTGAAACCGGTGAGCTGTAGAAGTAGTTTAGCGTTAGTTAGGTTACGGTTAGCATCAGGTCTTAGTTGCCATCTTGGGCGGGTCATTTAATCGTTTTTTGCTTTGAGTTTCTCATCTCGAACACGGTATTGAAAGTAATAGGTACTGCTCGAAGTAGCAGTTAAGCTTTTTGATGGAGATGCAGTAGGTTTTGTAACACTTGAAGGTTCTAGGGACTGTTCTTCTTAAAGAGTATGATTGTAACTTGGTTATTAGGAAGTTAAGTTTACGATAGAGGGGGCAAGTCTTGCGTTTACAATTCTCAGAAGCATAACTCGTTTTATACTTGCTTTCTCAGTTTCTAATAAATCATAATTTATTTTTAATCATCTTTTTTTTGGTGAGGAAGGTTGGCCCTGAGTTACCTTCCGTTGCCAATCTTCGTCTTTTTGCTTGAGGAAGATTGTCGCTGAGCTAGCATCTGTGCTAGTCTTCCTCTGTTTTTTTGTATGGGACGCCTCCACAGCATGGCTTGAGCAGTGTGTAGGTCCTCGCAGGGGATCCGAACCCCGATCCCCAGGCTGCCAAGTGGAGCAGGCGAACCTAACCACTACCCCAGCAGCTGGCTCCAATAAATCATAGTTTTTAAGCCATTTGTTGAATGATGTCCATAATTAGTTTGTAATTAGTAATGGCTTTACCGGACATCCTTTAGTTATGTAGAAACTATGGTACAGGGCCAGTTTGGGTTGCTTTGCCTTCTTTGTTTACTCTGTTAGTTTCTTCCCTCCCCAGTACCTTTCCCCTTGATGAGCAGGGAAATAGTCGGATACCTCTCCTTGCCCACTTCCCCTTAGCAGACTCATGACAAAAACAGCCCAGCTTACTATTAGGGAACTATTAGGAAAGCTACCTACATCCATAATAATTGATGCATAAGCTTCACGATTTTTGTTTTTTCTCAAAGTAATATTTTAAGTATCTCCTATTTGGGGCCTTGGATACATTGAAAACATTTTAATGTACATGTTCAGTGTTCCTTCTTTAGTACTTCTCATGGTTGAGGGTGGTGGTTCCTATAAGTAAGTTGTTGGATCTTCCAGTAATAAATCTTGTCAGTTTATATTGCTTTAGGGTATCATCAGTTGATGCTATTAAGAGATTTCCTACTGATGTCTGTATAAAGAATCAGAATGTCTCAGGACTCAAGTGATATTGATGTGATTTTCTACAATAATATGGAGGATGCATAATGTGGGAAGATTATGATTTTGATAATGAACAAAAGAGATGTGGATTCAAATTCTGTCTTGGTAATTAATTATATTTGCGATATTAAGGCAAACTGCTTAAACTTGAGCCTCAGTTTCCTCATTTGTAATTTGGATATAATTTCTTTTTTACAGAGTTCATGTAAGGATTAAATGAGTTAATGTCTGTAAAGTACATAATAAATCTTAGTTTCTTTCCCCTCTCCTTTTTTTTAGAAGAAATAAAAAATTGCTTACTTTTCAAAATGTCAGGATAAATTCTAATATTGAGATTTATAGTCTAAGTCATCGACTATCATAATGACTGCCCAGATTGTTGTTTTTTGTTTGTAACCCAAGTCCAGAAATTATTGGAGAGAGTCTGAAATCATTTTGACTAACACCACAGTGGTTGGAATTTCTAGCCTTTGATCTCTGTGGTTTGATTTCCCTTCCTCTGGGGAGAGCAGATGACTGACACATTCTATAGTCAGATGGAGTGAATGGGTTCTTTTTCATGTTCATTCTTCTTCTTTGGTAGTTAACTTCCCATGGATATGAGTGGGGATGCTTGTTAATCATATTTCTAGACTTTGAGAAAATGTTAATTTTAAAATGTACAACATACGGATTTTTGCTGTTGAAATAGCAAAATTATTTGACATGTCTTAATTATAAAATAGATTAAATTAGGTAACCTCTACCATTTCTTCTAGCTTTAATAATGACATTTTAGGTATGTATAGTCAAATAACTTATGTATGTATAGTCAAATGACTATGTGTAGTTGTCCCTGACGAAGAGACCCTGGGCCCTTTTATTTTTTGTGTAGTTTTGCTGTACTTTTCATTTTAAAGTCTGGCAAATGTTGAAATTCAGTAAATGTTTTAGGAATGAACTAAAATTTTCCTATCCTTTTATTCTTGTTTATCACCAGACTAAAATATTGCTTTGGGGGAGAAGGGTGTTGGTGCCATGTTGGAGCTTTGATTTGCGGAGGAGAGACAGAGAGAGCCTGTAACTGCTTGCTTAGACATTTGTTAAACATTTTTCTTTAGCATTTAATTTATAAAAATTAACTTACTATTTTGATTTTAAGAGTTTTGTTTGCTTGCTTAGCAAAATGAGGATATGAAGAGAATGTGGTATTTTCTTTCCTTCTGCATCTCCTTTGCTGGTAATACTACTAATGTAGTTGAATTGTGTGCCCTGTTCTTTTACGCTGTGACAGTGCTTACTTTTTACTGTATAGTTAAAAATTGGGTTAGAGAGCTAAATGAACAAAGTAGAAAATACTGCTGGCTTTCTTGACATCCAGTGCTAAATTGGTTTGGGAACTGTTTCAATTTGCTGCTGGTTAACAAAAGTATTTCACTTGCAAGGAATAAGTAAAATGATCCATTCAAGGCTTGTGATCCTTAGGTGTTTATTACTGCCTTTGTACATTTTTTTTTTCCTGTGGTTCTGAAGATATCTAAGATTTAAATATGATGAAAAACTTCAAGCAAAACACAAACCTTGAAAATTAGGCTCTTCATAGTTTGCCACTTCTGGTTTAAAAGGAAATCTTTATTATGGTATGGTTGTAACCTTATCTTAAGAATATAAGATGGCTAGTTTTATGGATGGAATGTTGTGTTTTGGGGTGGAGAGTGGAATTATGAACTTTGGTTTTCTTGATTGGTGCTTTTTATTTATTTATTTATTATTTATTTTATTTTATTTTATTTTTGAGGAAGATTAGCCCTGAGCTAACTACTGGCAATCCTCCTCTTTTTGCTGAGGAAGACTGGCCCTGAGCTAACATCTGTGCCCATCTTCCTCTACTTTATATGTGGGACGCCTCCCACAGCATGGCGTGCCAAGTGGTGCCATGTCCATACCCGGGATCCGAACCGCTGACCCCCGGGCTGCCAAATCGGAATGTGCATACTTAACTGCTGCGCCACCAGGCTGGCCCCTTTATTTATATTTATTTATTTTTTACTTTAAAGATTTTATTTTTCCTTTTTCTCTCAAAGCCCCCTGGTACATAGTTGTGTATTTTTAGTTGTGGGTCCCTCTAGTTGTGGCATGTGGGATGACACCTCAGCATGGTTTGATGAGCGGTGCCATGTCTGCGCCCAGGATTCGAACTGGCGAAACCCTGAGCTCCCGGAGCAGAGTGGGTGAACTTAACCACCCGGCCACGGGGCTAGCCCCTCACTGGTGCTTTTTAGAAGCTTGAGTATTTGCAGCACTGGTGCTTGAATATGACTATTGATATGGTTAAAAAAGATTTCTTAGTGGCTTGAATTGATTCTTTTCTCAAAGTCCAATTTTTATTTTCTTTTGATTTTTTTTTTTTTATTCTTGAAGCTTTTTTTTCCCTGGAAAGTTAACCTATGAAAGATACCCATTTGCCTTACTGGCAAATGAGATGAGGGCTCATTTTGTATGCAAGTTGAAGACTCCTGCTTGTCTACCCCTTTTTACAAAGAGCATAATTTTTAAAATAAAAGTAAAAACTTGATGCAGGATAAACTTGAAAACCCTAGTATTACACAAAATTTGCCTCTTATACTATTGTTAAATAGCTTTAACATTTTATTGCAGACCAGCCATGTGCTAGATATTTTGCTGAAGCAACTTTTGAAAGCAAGAAATGCTTCCCCTGTAACAATTGAGGCTCTTTGGTACTGTTAGGTGTCTTGAGGAGTTAAATTTTTTCACTAGGCCCTTCCTCAGTTTAGGTAAACGACAGGACATTCGAAATGTACTTACAACTTTTCGTGTGTTAGTAGTGTTGTGGATGTAATTTTAAAGATCATTTTAAGTTTGTTATTTAACTTTATTATATATAGTGCATGTCTCAGCGATCTTACAAAGTTTTTTTGAGAGGGAGACCTTGATTTGGCTTGGAGAGCGGTATTAAGCTATGTAGCTGCTACTTGTTAGTGAGTAAACAGCATAGTATGTTGACACTGTGGAGTGTAATTTTGTTGGCTAGGTATTTGTTTCAGCAGGTTAAGTCAACAAGTATGTTGAGGCTCTGTCACTTGCCAGATCTTGTGCTTGACTTTGAAGAAGAAAACATTAACAAGACCGCACTCCCTTTTGGGGAGCATGCTGTCTAGTGGAAGCCGAGTGTCAACATGTAATAGTACAAGGCTGAGCTATCAGAGGTATCTAAAAATTTAGAGAAGGAAGTGATAGTTGGTTGAATGGGGGATGGAGAAGGGGAAGCTTCAAGAGCATAGAGGAATTTGATTGAGTCCTTTTGAACAATGAGTAGAGTTTTGAAGGGTAGAGATAGGGGTATAAAAAAAGAAATGGGTGAGGTGAAAAAAATAAATTGCTGGGAAATGGTTTGATAAATGGTCTGGTTTAGCCAGTGGTTAGGGAAAGGTAAGTTTGAACTAAATTGTGGAGGGCTTTGAATGCTACAGAATAAAATTAGAGAGCCATGGGAAATTTGAGGCAGGAAAGTTCTTTAGAAAAGCCTCTCTATGAGCATAGTTTAGGAAGGATTTGGGAGTGAGGAAGGTGAGTTGGAAGATTATTGCAGTGCTGCTGATAATTGAGGATTGCTTCAGAAGTCTCACCTCAGATCTTCATTGGGAAGCTTTTCCTAACGTCTTCCCCACTCCTTTTAATATTTCCTGCACTCTGTGCTCTTGTGGCATAGCCATATTGTTTTACTTGTGTCTTTTATTAGCTCCTAAGGGCAGGAGCTGTGTCTTATTTTACTTTATATCTCTTACACAAGGCACGGTACCAGTAAATGGTTGCTCAGTAAAATGGTTGAATAAAGGGAAGATCTGAAGCGCAATGGTATCTTTGGAAAGGAAAAGAAGGGTCCCTGGAGAAGAGCTATATTAGAAGAGGGGTGAACAGAATTTGACTCAGTTGATTATGGGGGAAGGAAGGAGTCCAGGGTGACCTTGTTATAAAGCTGCTGCTGGCTAATACTTATTGAAGAATTATTATGTACCAAGCATCGTTCTAAGTGCTTCACTTGTATTTGTCCTTCATAACAATCCTGTGAAGCAGATGCTATTCAGCTTTACAGATGAAGGAACTAGGCCCAAGGTTACAAATCTGGGAAGTGCTAAAACCAGGAAGTCTGTTCCAGAATCTGTGCTCTTAATGTTTTAGTACTTCCAGATTCTTGAACTATTTCTGCAGTAGAATTTGTACCTTTTACTAGACATTAGGGGTTTATGTGTGGATTTTCTTGCTATTAGCATCTGTTTCTTATGTCTTGGGTGGTTGGAGAAAGCAGGGGAGGTTTCTTTGCTGTGTAGCAGGAAGTCGCTGCTCTGTCAGTGTTGTGGCAGTAAACACTATATCTTATGACTTGAAAGAACTTTTGCACAAAAACTCTATTGTAAAATTAGTGGTTAGGTTTCTAGTCTACAATATAAAAAGGTAACTGTGGGTCAGACATGTCCTACTATTATTTGTATCATATTTTGGGAAATACACATTCTGAATTTTAAAGAATTGACTTGCACATTTATTTTGTGTCACAAACTTTCTGTAAGTCAGAGATTGCCGTTATTCAGTGTTACTAGCTGAGAAGAAATTGCTATAAGTTTGGAAAGATTAAGTCTCTATAACATGAGAAACACTTGCTTTGTGAGCATAGGAAGACATTTTCTGATCATTTAAAGATTGACTTTTATTTTTAATACTTGCAGACCAGATCATCAGATGTTCATTCATCTGGATCTTCAGATGCACATGTGAGTATAAAAGGCGGTTTTTGTCTTTAAAATTTAATTTCTCTTTGTATATATCCCTACACTTAATGATTTTACTTGATAAATAAATATGATTATAGTATATGTGCCTATTTTTTCACCTCTTTTGCTAGGTGCCCTGCTTTTTTTGTTTTCTGTTTGCATAAGTTGGCCCCTTCAAACCATGTTAGAAACCTAATATATATGTTTCCTTCCTTGTTTTTATTGTGTTTATAAAATTGTGTGCATACATAAATGTGTGTACTTGTACTTTAACTATGGTTTGCATTATAGACACTTGTTCTTTTCTCACTGCACAATACACCTATTGGAAATCCCTGAAAGTCAACAAATGTAGCTCTAATCTTGTCTTTCTAATGGCATCATAATATTCCACGGTGGGAGGTACATTTATTTATTAAGCTATTTCTCTGTTTAGGGGCATATAGTTTTTGTTTAAAGTTTTTTGACATTTTGGGTAATAACTGCAGTAAACCTTCCTTTACATATGTTATTACAGCAGTGCTCAAAGTGTGGTCTTCAGACCCCTCAGGGTTGCTGAGAATCTTTCAAGGGGTTTGAGAGTTCAAAACTATTTTGTAATAATACTAAGACATTGATTGCCATTTTCACTTTGTTGACATTTGCACTGATGGTGCAAAAGCAATTGATAGGCAAACTATTGGCACCTTAGCACAAGTCACAGCAATGTTGCCAAAATGCACTAGTAGTCATTATATTCTTCCTCAGTAGGCACTTTTGTGCCTAAAAGTATGCTGGTGACACTTAAGAGAGTTCTTCATGAAGCAGTGAAAATTATTAATGTTAAATCTTGTCGTCGTATATGGATATTTTTAATGTTTTTTGTGATGAAATGGGAAGTACATACAAGCCATTTCTGCTTACCAAAGTGTGATGTTGTCTTGAGGAAAAGTACTTGTGGGATTGTTTAAATTGAGAAATAAAACTGGCTCCTTTTTTAAAGGAATACCATTTTTACTTGGAGGAACAACTGACAAAACTATGCTTATCAGACTTGAGTTGTGGCAGATATTTTCTTGAAAATGAAGAAAATGAACCTATTCCTATAAGGAAACCAACTATTTGTTACCACTATAAAATTCGAGCCGTCAGGTGCAAGTTAGAATTATGGAAAACTTTCCCTGCACTTACGGACTTTTTGAATGAAATCAGTGGTGATATTAAGGGATGAGAGTTTTGATAATGTATAATGAAATTTGTGAATATTTGGACATTTGGGTTGTTTCTGGTTTTCAGTACTGCTAATATGATTTTTAAAAACTACTTGTATTTTTCCTGAAGATGGATGCATCTGGACCCTCAGATAGTGATATGCCAAGTCGGACACGACCTAAGAGCCCAAGAAAACATAATTATAGGAATGAGAGCGCCCGTGAAAGCCTTTGTGATTCTCCTCATCAGAATCTCTCAAGAGTAAGTATTGATAAAGATAAGAAAGGATAGTTAATGATTTTAATCTGTCCTTGATTGAATTTGGTAGTTGAATATCTTGGTTTTGTACTTGTTTCATCTTGTACTATTTGAAAATAGCATTCTTTATTGTATTCGGGTTAATGATAAACTTGACTTCATATAAGGAAATGTTTTTTAGTTCATATGTCAAGTATGTTTTATTTAAAATTTAAAATTTTATTTGAGAAAAACGAGCATTTTGGGTATAAATGGTTAATGTTAAGATTTATTGTTCCCCCTTATACCAAACATTTACTGAACCAAATGCCAGTCACTGGAAATGCACAGATGGTTAAAACACAGTGCTTGCTCTCAGGGAGCTTGTAGTCTCGCCCTGGGAAGCACAATGGAGCAGGTGCTGTTCACTCTGGTTAGTGCAGTGCCCAGGACAATATGAGAACCCAGAGAAGGAGCTTTACCTCGTCTGTCTTCAAAGTGCTCTTGTGCTCTTTTAGTCTTTTTTTCTAATTCAAATAATGTTTTCTTGTGATTAAATTTGGAAAAGATAATGAAGAAGATAATCATCACCAGCCAGTATTAGCATTAACACTTTATTTTTCTTGTTTACTATTTCTAAGCATAAATATATTTGTACTTCGCTGAGATCCATTTTACAGGAACACCTTTGAAATGTTCTGTTTTCAGTTCTAATTTTTAAAAAATTTTAGCAAAAATTCTGTAAACAAACTTTTTAATGGATGGTTGTATTTCTTTGAGTAAACATTCCGTAATTTCCTTAACCATTTCTCTCTTGGGTGTCTAAGTTTAGCTCTTAGGATGTAAATAGAATTTGAGCACAAAAATTTTGTTTGGTAAAAATGTTTTTCACTGATTTTATATGTAATTTTATCATTTGTTTAAATTTTTGAAATTTTGAAACCAAAGATGCTGAATGATGACAAAACATTTTTCTTTCTATTTTGAGGAAAAAAAATTTACTTTGAATCTGTTCATGAAACCCAAAATTGACTTTTGGGTTGTAAACCACTTTATTTTTTCAAAAGAATTTTAATGTAACTTTAAAATAGTTTGCAGCAGTATTACTCTTCCATTCTGCATCTCTCAAGGGCAAGCCTTTTTAATAACCAGGAAATTGAAAAAGTCTAATTTTGTAATTGGTTAACCTCTCATTTTGATAGGCACTAGAGAAACCGTTAGATTTCAGTTGCGATTAATATTTTAGGTTGTATTCAATAAACATCCTTCTCTTATGAATCAGAATCTAACATTCAAGTGCATAACTGATTGAACAAATACAAGTCTACAGACAGTTGATATTCAAGCCATAGTTCAGAAGGAAATTTCTTCCAAGTTACATAAATGAAGACTTCATTAAAATACTATTTTCTCATATTCAAAATTAATTGATGAATATTTACTTGTAGTGAAAACTAAAATACTGTATGTCATATATCCCAGCAAAGAAAATGAAATTATGATGTTTATAAACATCAGTATTATTGGTGAAGAATGAGGTAATTTACTAAATTAGAAGAGGAAGAGAGAGAATTTGTAGTACCCGAAATGGGGATTATAGATGGTATTTAGGTTCCTGCTACTGAACCATGGAAATGTATGCCTCTTTCTCCCTATTTGAAAATGTGTTTTCTATTACTGCTTTTTTTGCCCAGAAACATTTGTACTTTCCCTCAAGTGCTTTTATTTTTGCTGCCAACAAGTAGGTTGAATGAGTTCTAAGCCTTGGCATCTCTTTCTCCGTTTTATTTTTGCCTTTTTTTTTTTTTAAAGGCTTTTGTCTGTTATTGACCTTGAGCTAGCAAATGAAGACATTCTTTCATGAATACTTACATCAGAATCAAGCCCATGGTAGGCACCTGACACTTAGGGTAGCCTCAGCTTTTCCTTTTACAGTGAACCATTTTTTAAAAAGATCATCTGTTCTGAAGACTTGGTTATCAGTTGAGGTGTATCACTTGAGTTGTGGATAGCATTAAGAATGTGTATTAAAGGTATCCTTTTTATTTCTTTTTACAGCCTCTTCTAGAAAACAAACTTAAAGCATTTAGTATTGGAAAAATGAGTACAGCTAAGCGAACTTTAAGTAAGAAAGAGCAAGAAGAATTAAAGAAAAAGGTAATGTTTAAAATGTAGGTTTTGAGTTATCCTTGGAAATAAATGTGTCTAAGGGGGCAGTAAGTGTATGGACAGTAGAGGATGTTTTTCAGAGATTTTTGACCTCCAAGGTATTCTCAGCTCTTATCCTCCAAGTCAAGTCTATAAGTCTATCATACGGGGTATGTTCAGAGGAGTCCAGCTTTCTATGCCTGTCCCCTCCACTGTTTCCTCTCTTCTGTGTAACAATTTTGGTTCTTTTCTGGTCTTGTCTTTTTATATAAGCAATTGTATATACATATATATTGTACCCCCTCCCCTTTCTTCGATGAATGATAGCATACTGTATATAGTACTCTTTTCTCCACTTTGCTTTTTCCATTTAACACGTCAGAGATTACTGGAAGTGTATTGAAATATTCCTTGTTCTTTTTTTGTAAAGCTCTGTGGATATTCAATAGTTTATTCAATTAAAATTCTGTTGAAGGCATTTGTGTTTTGTTTTTTGCCTTTACAAATAGTGCTGTTATGGATAGTGTTATGCATATGGTTTTTTGATAGTGTATCTTTGGGATACATTCCTTTAAGTTAGATTTCTGGGTTAAATGGTAAATACATAAATGTAGTTCTGCTAGATATTGTCATATTGCTCTCTGTAAGGGCAGGGCCATTTTGCATCCCTCTCAACAATGTATGAGAGGTTGTTTCCCCATAACCTTGCCAACAGGATATTAGCGAAGGAATTCTGCCAATCTGCTAGGTGAAAAACGGTCTCAGTGTTGTTTTAAATTTGCATTTCTCTTACAAGTAAAGTTGAACAACTTTTCTTGTGTTTGTTTCTGTGAACTATCTGCTCATATCTAAACCAGTTTGTCAACTTAGTAGATTATCTCTGTTTTTAGAAAAACTCTTTTGTATATTAGTAATATTAACGCTTTGTCTATGACAAAAGGTGCAGTGTTTTTTTCCAGTTTGTCGATTATCTTTTTGTTTTGCTTCTGATGTTTTTTCCATGCAGAAACTATTTATTGATAATGGAATCGGATTTATTAGTCTTTCCTTACGATTTCTGGTTTTTCAGTCAAGATTTTCCCACTCTCAGCTTATGAAGGACTTTCCTCATGTTTTTTTTCTAATACTTACATAATTTCATTTAAAAAAATTAAATCTGATTAATTTGCAATTTTTCCTGGTATATTATGTGAAGAATTGGTTCATTTTTATCTTTTTTTCAAATAGCTGTCAAGTTATCCCAAGATTATCCATTAAAAAGTCCATCTATTCTCCACTGATTTGAGATGCCCCTTTTATTGAATACTAAATTTCTACACGCTGTTGGATTTATTTCTGTGTTTTCTTTTCCATTGGCCTTTCTATTCATACATGTTTTGGGGACATTTAGAATAGTTATAATTGAAGTTGTCAAGGTTCTTCTGAGCTTTTTTTCCTTTAATGCCAACTGTGTGGAGATACTGCTGCTTCAGCTTCTAATACCCATGTCTTCAGTGGTTTGTAAAGGAAATCTTTATCTTCACTGATTAAATCATTGTGCTTTGGAAATGACAAACATTAATAGAATAATACATTTTATATGGTCAATTGTCATACATTTTTGACCCTTGAATTGTGTCTAAACAAATTTACTTAGTAGGTCCTTTTCAGGTTATGCAAATTGCCAGTAGAGGAGCAAAACTTCTCTTAGTTTTAATGTTAATTAATATATAGTGTCTACTAATGACTAGAGAGTATTACCTATTAGGACTGCATAACCTGCTGTCATTTACATTATTCCTTGATGAGTTTCCCCCTGTGTGCAATAATAATTTTTATATTAGGTGATACTAATATTTTCATGTGTAATTAGGAGGATGAAAAGGCAGCTGCTGAGATTTATGAGGAATTTCTTGCTGCTTTTGAAGGAAGTGATGGTAATAAAGTGAAGACGTTTGTACGTGGAGGTGTTGTTAATGCAGCTAAAGGTAAGTGTGAATATTACAGTCCTTGAGCAAACCCAAAAGTCTTGGTTGAATGACTGCAGATAATTATGAAAGAAGTTTGGTTGCTTTTGAATTTTACGTTTCTTTTCTATTAGCACCCTCTAGTGGTGGTATTAACTAGCAAGATAAATGGCCAAATAATGGATTAATGAAAAATTAGAGCAAAATAAGTTTTTAAAATATTTAGTTCCTTTCAAGTTTCGAGATAGAACACTTTGGAAAAATTTTAATATATTGCATAGTTTTGCTGTTAAATGATTAAATTATATTTTTGAGAGTGGGGTGGTAATATTTGAATTTAACTTCATATTTTGTCAGTAGTGATGTATCTTAATACTACAAGCATATTACATTTTTGTTTATTTTTAAATAAAAATAGTAAAGAAAATCCAAATAATGTGAAATTAGTTTTGAAACAGTATTTTAAATTTCAGAAGAACATGAAACAGATGAGAAAAGAGGTAAAATCTATAAGCCATCGTCAAGATTTGCAGATCAAAAAAATCCTCCAAATCAGTCATCCAGTGAAAGACCACCATCTCTTCTTGTGATAGAAACCAAAAAACCTGTAAGTCATACTTAAATTAAGTGACCATTTGTGTTCCGAGATGATACTGCCAATGATACTTTCAGTACTTCCACTGTAAGCAGGACTTTGGTTTCTTGTTTTTAATTATTTTGGGAGTAGATGTTGAGTTTTGATGTTTAATCTTCCTGGATGAGAGATAATAAATTAGAGCAGGGCATATGGATGGTACTCTTTTTTATTCTCTTTGAGCAGTGAACATATGCTTTTACTATACTCGTAGCATATTGCAAGTAAAAAGTTAACTATATTTTAAGTGTCCGTGTAAAAGAATTCGGTTGTCTTTTTAAACAGTACTGAACTGAGGTTTAAATTATGTCAGCATGTGTCATGTCAGTTACCTTGGAAGACTATCTGTACTCTAGCAATGTGTCTGTTACCTAGAACATTTTTGGAATTTATTTGGAATTACTGTTAGAATTAGTGACACTTTCTTTTAAATATTCTCAGTATTAGAAAAACTCTTGTTTTTTGCGGGTAGGGTTTTCATGGTGCATGGTAGATAGATGTGGGTCATGTCATTTGAGCCAAATTTGGTGAAGAAATATGATTATATTGAATAGTGAGATTCATTTTTCTTGTGTGACTTTTAAAATAGCTCTGAAAGCAATTAAAAAAAATAACAGCTTTATTGAGATATAATTCATATACCATAAAATACATGCTTTTAAAGTATACAATTAAGTTTAAAAAAAATAATATTCATGGTTGTGCAATAATCACTAACCTCTAATTTCAGAACATTTTTATTACCCCAGAAAGAAACCTTATACCTACTTTTAGTCATTCCCATCTCCTGGCAACCTCTAATCTACTTTGTCTCTTTGGGTTTGCCTGTTCTGGATATTTCATGCAGGTAGAATCATACAATATGTGGCTTTTTGTGTCTGTCTTCTTTACTTAGCATAATGCTTCAAGGTTCATCTATGTTGTGGCATATATCAGTACCTCATTCCTTTTTATGGGCAAATGATATTCTATTTTATGGCTATACCACATAATATTTATCCATCTATCACTTGATGGACATTTGGATTTCCACTTTTTGGCTATCAGTAATGCTGCTATAAACATTTGTGTACAGGCTTTTGTGTGGACATATGTTTTCACTTCTCTTATATGTACCTGAGAGTGGAATTGCTGGGTCATATGGTAACTGTTTGTTTAACCTTTTGAGAAACCGGCGAACTATTCTAAAGTGGCTGTAGCATTTTACTGTCCTATCAGCAGTGTATGAGAGTTCCACTTCTTCCACATCTTCGTCGACACTTGTTAAAATTGCCTGTTTATTTTTAAAGTTTATTTTAGTCATCTTAGTGGGTATGAAAGTTGTACCTAATTGTGATTTTGATTTGCACTTTCCTAATATTGAACATCTTTTTATGTGTTTATCATCTGTTTATAGTCTTCTGTGGAGAAATGTCTTTTTAGATCCTTGGCCCAGTTTTTGTTTTTCTTTTTAAAGATTGGCCCCTGGGCTAATGTCCATTGCCAATCTTCTACTTTTTTTTTTTTCTTCTCTTCTTCTACCCAAAACCCCCCAGAAGGTAGTTGCATATTCTAGTTGCAGGTACTTATGGTTGTGCTATGTGGGATGCCACCTCAGCATGTCCTGATGAGTGGTCCTTGGCCCATTTTTTAATTGGGTTGTCTTTTTATTGTTCAGTTTAAGAGTATTTTACACCTATGAGTCAAGTCTCGCTTTTTTTTTCCTAAGGAAGATTTGCCCTGAGCTAACATCTGTTGCCAGTCCTCCTCTTTTTTTGGCTTGAGGAAGACCAGCCCTGAGCTAACTTCTCTGGCAGCCTTCCTCTGTTTTGTATGTGGGACACCTTTGCAGCATGGCTAGTGTATGGAGTAGGTCTGCGCTCCGGATCCTAATGTGCGAACCTGGGCCGCCAAAGTGAAATGTGCAGAACTTTAACCACCTGGCCATGGGGCTGAGCCCCGAGTCAAGGCTCTTGTCGGCTATAATGATTTGCAAATGTTTTCCCCATTCTGTAGGTTGTCTTTGCACTTTCTTGATAGTCTCCTTTGAAGCACAAAAGTTTTTAATTTTGATGAAGTTGAGTTTATCAGTTTTTTTTGTTGCTTGTGCTTTTGGTGTCGTATCTAAGAAACTATTGCCTAATTCAAGGTCATGAAGATTCACTCAGATGTTTTTCTCTAAGACTTTTATAGTTTTAGCTCTTAGATTTAGGTCTGTGAATCATTTGAGTTAATTTTTGTATATGGTGTGAATTAGGGGTCCAACTTCATTCTTTTTTGCCTTTGGATATTCAGTTGTCCTAGCACCATTTGTTAAAAGACTATTCTTCCTCATTGAATTATTTTGGTGCTTTTAAAAGAGGGATTCCAAAAGCAGTTTTGGAAGGAGTTTTAAAAGAGGAATTCCAAAGATGTTAACTGATTGTTTCAGTAATTCATATCCTCCTAAGGGCATTGTTTTGAAGAGCGCACATTTTTAGTAGTTGTTTATGGCAGTTACTTTAGATGGTAGTTCAGTTACTTTATGTTCATTAATTTTGTCTCCTGTTCCCCTCCAACAATTGTCAGGCCTAGGTATTACAGGCTTTGGGGGATGAAGTTGGTGGCTCCTTTACTTTAAGACTGCTGCTTGTCCTTTTGTTTAATTTTTTAAATATTTTGATTATTAAATTCTTAGTTTGAGAGGACAGGAGGGAAAGTTCAGTGATGATGGAAGCATTCTTTCTTTTGAACTTAAATAATTAGAACATAATTGGCACTAAAATAAAAATTATTTAAAATGATCTGATTATTGAACCATTAGTCTTGCTTAACCTTGTTTGGTTTGAAGTATAACTTGTCATATCCTTCATAGCCACTGAAGAAAGGGGAGAAAGAAAAGAAAAAAAGCAATTTGGAACTCTTCAAAGAAGAATTGAAACAGTAAGTTTTATAGTGCTGAGAATGGCTCTCATAGGTATATCGAGCTGGTAGTTACAGATGCAGGTATGAGGAGTGTAGTGTACCAGTTAGTTATCACTAACTGGCTTACCGTGAGGTTGTTTTAGATATTATAGTGGTATTTTGTGGGGTATGCTTGAAAATAAACTAGTGTTTTGTCCAGCGTCTAGGTTGCTTAGATTATGTGGATGCAATTCAATTGATTTATCTAATGTCCGGAGTCCTGTTTGCAGTGGAAACAATATAGTCACTGAGGTGGGGGTGAGCAGAGGTTGAACTTAGCCAAGAAAGAATAAATTCTGTGGTTTTACTGTTGAATTTCCTCCTCACTATAAAAGTGGGCTTTGTATTCCATTGCTTGTGTAGCAGAAATTTGCTCATGATTCTGTTATAGCTGGGAGACTCTCTGATCTTGGTTGTTGGTACTGGCGTCTAATTACTCACCAATATTTCAAGTTATTTGAAGATGGTGCCTGGATAAGTTCTATTCTTATTAAATGTGAACAAACAAATTTTGGCTCATTATTAGTGATTATAAATATTTTCAACAGAATTCAAGAAGAACGTGATGAGAGACATAAAACAAAAGGCAGGTTAAGTCGATTCGAGCCTCCTCAGTCAGATTCTGATGGTCAGCGTCGTTCTAGTAAGTGATGTTTATTTTAATGTTTCTATTTGATTAACTATTCTAAAAACTAAGAGTTGTTTTCTTTTCCCCCTTTTTTAAAGTGGATGCGCCTTCAAGAAGAAATAGATCATCTGGTGGTAATACAGTTTTTTGCTTTTTTAATTAATAGAAATTGTCCAAACTTTGTTTTTTGCAGGTTATAATTTTTTTTTTCCTCTTTGCCCTAGTTCTTGATGATTATGCACCTGGCTCACATGACGTAGGAGATCCAAGCACTACTAATTTATACCTTGGAAACATTAATCCACAGGTAATGTTAGAAAAGTAAGATGAATGTGGGCTCATATGCTTTATACTTTTGGAAGAGAACTACTTTGTCAATCACAAAAATAAAGTCAGGAATCTGAAGTAAGCAAATTTGATGGAACTAGATAGTCTCTAAAATTATCCTCTAAAGTTGAGCTTTATTGGTGTGGGCCAAATTGTCTTGCTACAATTCTTAAGGGCTCATCTCTTCTTTCTATAACTGGACTATATTCTGAGTTTGAAATGTTTTACTAGCTGCTGATTTATTTATAAAATCAGGATATGACTAGTGGGGGACAGTATTCTTTTGAGACTACCTTCTTCTGAGGCATAGCTTGCTTCCTTATGGATTTTTTCCCCCTCATAATAGCAAGCTAGTGTTTGTGCTTTCGTTTTTTATATTTTAATTATTTTCCCCGCTTCAGTGTTAATTGTGTTATGGGGAATTTAGTGGTTGTTATACATAATGTGCTCTTTTTAAAAAATTATGTGTTTTAGACTTCATTGCATATTTACCATTTTCTTTTTTCTCTCTTCTTGATTACACTAGTAGCTGGGTGCTGGGAAAAAAAGTGATCATATCTTTTTCTTTCGTTTACAACAAGTATTTCCTCCTTGACCTAAATGTGGTAATCACTGCTGCCTGGAGAATGTTGCTAAATGCCTAAAGGAACCATCGCTGTAGAACAGCATATTTTAGATGCAGGATCTCAAAAGGAGGAAGAGGGGAGGTGAAAGCCACCCAGCCTCTTCCTTCTGGCCACTTGTTTGTGTGAAACAGAATGTTTATGGTCTGAAAAGATTTGTGCATGCCACATGAGGGCAGGATTTTACCCGTGTAGAGGTCCTAGTTTGAATGGGAACTTGTAGTGTTAGTATGTCTTTTTCCATTTTGCAAAAACTACTTTACTTTCTTCTTGCTTGGAATTCTTTTTTCCTTTCTTTTTTGCATACCAAAAAACTCTTCTGCTTTTTAATAGATGAATGAAGAAATGCTGTGCCAAGAATTTGGAAGATTTGGGCCATTAGCCAGTGTGAAAATTATGTGGCCTAGAACTGATGAAGAAAGAGCAAGGGAGAGAAATTGTGGCTTTGTGGCCTTTATGAATAGAAGAGATGCTGAAAGAGCTTTAAAAAATTTAAATGGTAAAGTTTTTATTGTCCATTTATAGAATTCAGACTTTTTTTGGTTCTGAAAAATATTTATAAAAACTTTAGGGAGAATGGACGAGAAATGGAAGGGTTAAAAATGAGAATTAATTCAAATCACGAGAAATCTTTTATTTTCTTTTGAGAGTTAACCAAGGTGACCTTTCTTTTCTTTCTTGCAGGAAAGATGATTATGTCTTTTGAAATGAAGTTAGGTTGGGGTAAAGCGGTGCCTATTCCTCCACATCCGATATACATTCCGCCTTCTATGATGGAACATACGCTTCCCCCACCTCCGTCAGGACTGCCTTTTAACGCGCAGCCTAGAGAGCGGTTAAAAAACCCCAATGCTCCCATGTTACCACCACCTAAAAACAAGGAGGATTTTGAGAAGGTAATTTAAAAAATGTACATAGGGCGCATCTAATTTGTAAATACTAAATCTGGTAGTATTTCTTTTCAACAATTTTTTATAAATTTGTGTGTAATTCTGTTTGGCAACTCTTAAAGAAATAAGTAGATGTGTTCCCTGCCTTAGCCCGTGGAAACCTGTATTGAAATACTAGGTCATATTTTTATTTGTGGCTACCATTCCTTTTTTTGACCACTTAAGTTTTTTTCCCCTTTGTCCACTGTTGTATCCAGGTTTGCTTAAGTGCAAAATATCTAATTTTACTTTGTTCTGAGAAAGTGATACTTTGTATTTGGTAAAGTGACTTTTCAATTAGAATAGACCTCCTAAAGAGTTAAAGTGTTTGGATGGCAGCTAGCTAACTTAGTTCTCAAGATCTGAGCTGTTAGATACTGAGAGCATATGTGGTTTTTAAAAGCAGTTAACTACTCTAGTAAAAGCAAAGGGTGAGTATTTTCTTTTTATTAAACATAAAACCAACTTAATTTCAAGTTATAAGAATTTGTTGGTTCTATTATGAGTTAATTACACTTAAAATGACAGGGCTGGTTTTAAAGGCTTGGGAACAAAGTAGCAAACTGTATGGTAAGATGCAAACAGTTAATTATTTCACAAATTAAAATCTTTATCTGATAATTCTCGGTGTAGTACCTATTTCAGTGCATTGATGTGCATTCTGGCAGGAATGTTCTGATTCTTTGCATTTGGTGAACATTTATTGTTCACTGAACACATCCATTTGCATTTATGTAATTGCTTAGTGTATAATTCAAATGCAGTGATTGCCTGCAAAACTTGTGATTAGATGTGTAGTATTTTCAATGCATATGTATATTTTTGCTTGTTACTTGTTAACAATACTCACATATTCTATGTTTATTATCTGATGTGACTTCATATACAGACTCTGTCGCAAGCCATAGTCAAAGTGGTTATCCCAACAGAAAGGTACATGTTTTTCTTTATTATTACTGATCTAAATATAGACAATATCCCCTTCTGAATTAAAAAAAAAATGGTGTTGAGGAAAAGGTAATATCTTGACTGAGCAATGGTTCCTTCCCAGTCCTTTTTGGGGGGATATGTGAAATTCAACTAACTTTAGTATACTTTGCAATTTTATGTCTTTATCTTTTTTGTTTTTATTGTTACCAATGTAGAGAATTTTATAGCTTTAGTAGTTAGAATGTGTTTAATAGATTTAATCTGGAGTTGTTAGTCTAATATTAGACTATTATGATGGGAAAATAGGTCTTTTTAATGTCATAAATTTTGGTGTTACAATTTGACCCAATCTTTTATTTTTTTCTTTGTTTCTGAATTATCTTTGTTTAATGTGCAACCGTAGGTTGAGTTCTCCTTACCTAAGGCATAGTTTGTTTTTTTCTAATTGATTTTAAGAAGGAATTCCTATTATTTTCATGAACACTGAACATACTAGAAATTTTTTCACGATAAAGGTGTTTGGAATTCTTTTATTTTCTTTTCTTCCTTTTTTTCTTTTTCAACATAATGTTAAAGCAGAAGAATTCATGCTCTAGGTATGCTCTTGCTCAGTCAAGCTAAGCCTTTTCCCAAACACAGGAACACAACACTGGTTGAATAATAAATGAACACAAAAGAATACCAAATTCTCTTTGACATTGGCCTTGGTGAGCAACACCAGCTGAACTGTCTGCGGCAGCGGGGGACCAGGAAAACATCATGGGATGGATTGGGAAAGTATACAGTTTTTGACCAGACATTGGTACGATCGACTCCAATAAATGTGGTTTTATTATAACTGAGAGACAATTTTTTGGGTTTTTTTTGTTGTTGTTGCTCAGAATAAGATAATTACCATTTTAAAATAAAATAATGCACTTTAAAATATATCATATTTTTGTACTACACTGTTTCATTCTGATAGAAAAGTCACCCTTTTTTAAATAAGAAATTAAACACACAATCCTTAAGGAAAGAGTTTGATTACAATTCTTTAATAATCTTGAATTCAAGTTAGCAACAGCTAATTGTCAGATTTTGATTTTAAATAATCATATGAAGCATTTTAAAACTTCCTTAAACTTTAAATTTTCTAAAATAGATTTTATCAGTTACAAGCCTGTTTAAAACTATAGTGGGTTTTTTCCCCACTGATGAAGCGCTCACAGAAAAATATTTTCGTAGCATTCACAAAACATTTATCTGGTAGTAGCTTTACATGTAGCTCGGCTTATTTCTAAACAAAATTTTGAGTATACATTTTGCTGAAAAGTCTTGACTCACCATTTCAATGAATCCTTTGTTTTAAACTTGCTAAATCATTTTTCATCTATCTTTAATACTCAAGTCAACTTGCTTTTGACTTAATTCATACAAGTTTCTGAATATATAGCGTTTGTCCACCTATAATTGATTTTATATATTATGATACATAAAATTTCCCTTCACTTTAATTTGACACGTAACAGTGGGAGTATTGGAACTGAATCATAACTTTGCATTATCTCCCTTCATCAAAATAATGTCATTAATTATATGGATGCTGAGAATACATTCTCATTTGGATATCAAGAACTGCATATTTGCAGAGTAATTAATACTTCTGTGAAACAAAAATAATTTTTAGATTTAAAATGAAGTGATGCTTTTGGTTTTTTGTTTTAACAGTTTGAGGTTGAATTAATAGTTTTAAATATATAGTTTCCCCTTTGTTAAAGATTTAAATCTTCATATAATTTTTTTTACTAGAGATTTTAGTGTCCACTTAAGTAGGTTTGTTTGCAAACTGTGAAAAAATAATTTTAATCACCATGAGATAAATTATTTTATTGTTCATGTACTCTGAAGCAGGGCATAATAGAGCCCCCAAAAATCTGTCTTATTCTATAACTGTATATTTATTTATATTCCAGCAGTTATTATGAACTTAATTTGAGCTGGGAATGCTAAAGGTGTAATTTAGTGTGTGCCTGTACCAAGAGCCAATATCCTTTTGCTTTTCCCACTTGTTATTTATCAACTCTATATGTTGGGGACTGGTGAAATGAGAGATCACAAGCAGCTTATAGTAAGCTGAGTCATTTTTGCCTGACAGTGTAAATCACTGTCTAAAGTTGTATTTGGAGTCTGATAAAGTATCACATGATTTTGGGACCCAGCTTCAGATTTTAAAACTAAAGGCTTTCTATGAGCCCAACCAATAAAATCGCGTATTAAGAAGTTATGTATGTTTATTTTTGGCATTAATATTAGAAAATAATGGTTATGACAAATGGAAAGGGCATCTCACTCTGTTCCGTATTTTGGAATATTTTGGAAAGAGGACTCCATTTATTTAAGGCTTTGGCAATATAATTGCTTCTTTGATTCATAGTACAGGCAGAATTGTATATATCATGAATTGTGTGAGCTAGTTTGAAGTGTGGTCCAAAGGGATGTTGCCTCATCAAAGGTCAAATTCAATAAAAACTCCATCTGCTATATGTGTACCAGAAAAGCACAGGAGTTGGATGGGTTTTTTATTAAATCAGGCCTTAAACTTGTCAAATAGTTTCACATTTCTACAAATTATAGTCATGTATATAACACTTCAATACCACCACAAAAGTGCTTGATTTAGGAATATTTTCTTTAAAACTGAGATAGTGTGTAAGTTTTTAGATGGCTATAATAACATGTAAGCTCTAAGTTACTGATTTTATATATTTGCAGCTTTCTCAGTTGTGATTCATAACTTAATGTTTTGCATTTGGAAAATAAAATTAAGTGGCATTTAGAAAATTAAGTCTTTATTACTATGAAGCTGTGTTGTGGTTTCCCACCCTCCCTGCACCTTTCCTTCCCCTCCCACTCCCTTATCCCTGTTGCCCCCTTCCCTCTTAATGCACAAGGCATTAACATATGCTCCAGGTTACTTTTTTGGTATAAAATTCTGTGTTAGCAGAATAATCTTTTTCTGCGCAATTATAGTAACTTAGGTCAAGTGTAGTTTTATATAGTGGTAGGTCTGAATCCATTTTCTTTAACTGTGTTGTTGTTGTAGGAATTTGCTCGCCCTGATACATCGAATGATAGAGTTTGTTGTACGTGAAGGGCCAATGTTTGAAGCTATGATTATGAACAGAGAAATCAACAATCCTATGTTCAGGTGTGCATTTTTTTATTATGATAAAATATACATATAAAATTTGCCATTTTTACGAGTACAGTTCATTGGCATTAAGTACATTCACATTGTTGTGTAGCCATCACCACTGTCTTGTCTCCAGAACTTTTCTCTGAACGTAACTGAAACTCTGTACCCCCTAAATAATAACTCCCTATTCCCTTGATCCCTCAGCCTCTGACAACCACCATTCCACTTTCTGTCTCTGAATTTGATTACTCTAAGTACCTCAGATAAGTGGCGTCATACAGTATTTGTACTTTTGTGTCTGGCTTATTTCACTTAGCGTAAGTCTTCAAGGTTCATCCATGTTGTAGGGTGTGTCAGAATTTCCTTACCTTTTAAGGCTGAATAATATTCCATTGCAAGTATATACCACATTTCGTTTATCCTCAGGTGTGCAACTTAAAAATACTTTTGTTTTTTTGGAATGAAAAATATTTCTAAGAATAAAGTTCTAAAAGTATGGGGTTATTTTTGCAGTGGAATGACAAAGCAGTTTTAGTAATTGGATGAAAATTTGCTTGGGTCAGTTTTCCATCTGATTTTGATTTAGTTAATTAAATAACATTGTTTTTAACATTTTCTAGGAGGAAAATGCTTTCCATTATGCTTTTCAATGAGAGAGTCTTTCATAAGTGAGATATAATAGAACAAATGAAGTGTATAGGAAATTGTTTATCTTCTGAATAGCTATGGTATCTGAGACATTCATTTGACGCTCTTAAGTTGTTCAAAAACCACTGCTTTTGAAATTATATTTTGGGAAAAATCTCTCCATTGCCAGACACAGTATCTGATACATAAGTATTCAGTAAAATTGATAGTAAGACTCAGCAAGATGCATACACACCTTTATTTTAATGTCAGTCATAAAGCCAGTCTGTGGTTAAGGTGAGAAAGGGGGTAGATGGCAGATGGCAGTGGATGAGGATTTCTCTTCAGAGATCTTTGCTTTAGTTTCGTTTAGCACTAAATAGGCAAATAATATTTGTCATTTGTGTATATTTACTTGAAGAGAGTTCTTCATTAAAGAATGGATGTTTAATTTTTTAAATTTGTTTTGTTTTAGGTTCTTATTTGAAAACCAGACACCAGCCCATGTTTACTATAGGTGGAAGCTTTATTCTATTCTACAGGCAAGTATAATCAATTACTTTGTTAATTTTGGCTCTTGAGGTATTAAACCTTTCTAATAACATTCTGGACATGTTTATTAGGGAGATTCTCCAACTAAATGGAGGACGGAAGATTTTCGTATGTTCAAAAATGGATCATTTTGGAGGCCACCACCATTAAATCCATACTTGCATGGGATGTCAGAAGAGCAAGAAACAGAAGCTTTTGTAGAGGAGCCTAGTAAAAAGGGAGCACTTAAGGAAGAGTAAGATTTTTTTCCTTACCGTTAATATATTCAGAAAAGTTGCTTTAATTAATGGTCTTTACTAAGATGTTGACCCTAAAATAAGATAGTTTTTTTCACTTGTGAATGTTTAAAATAGTAACATCTCTCATCATATGCTTTGTAATTTTAAACATCTTGTCAAGTATAAGTGTGTGTCCTTATAAGTGTGTGACCTTGACCTCTTGCTACTGATAAAAATTAGTCATGACCTCTTAAGCAGTGATTCTCTAGCAGTGGAATGCTTCAGATTCTTACAGAAATTACCCCGAGACCCTTAGAATTCTTGCCTTTCTGAATGCAACATAAAGAGAGGACAGATGATTGTATGGCTTAGGGAGGTCAGATGGTTGCCAAGTCTCTCCACACAGTTCGCAGTGTGTGGCCACCATGCAAGCATATGTTGTTATTAGTGCTCAGTCAGCAGTGGTACAGTGCTGTTAGCCTGGTTTAGGAAGCAGAAACAAATTTAACTATTAAATGTTCAGAGAGGAAGTTCTGTATACCTCATGGAAAAAATTAGCTAAAAGAATTTTTAGCATATAGGATTCTGTATAGTCTATAACTCTTAATACTAGCTGCATTGATTCATTGTTTGTGAGAGCATTTGCTAATGGAGAACTGTAGTATTTGAGAGTATATTTGCTTCTGAAGATGTATATTCATCATTACTTTCCTCACAGGCTAAATTTGGTTGTCTCCTATTTTTGTAAATAAAGTTTTTTTGTTAGTTTGTTTTTTTTGTTGAGGAAGATTTGCCCTGAACATGTTGCCATTCTTCCTCTTTTTGCTTGAGGAATATTTGCCCTGACCTAACATCTGTGCCAGTCTTTCTCTGTTTTGTATATGGATCACCACGTGGCACATCAAGGCTGATGAGTGGTGTAGGTCTGTGCCTGTGATCCAAACCTGTGAACCTAGGCCACCGAAGTGGAGTGTGCCGAACTTAACCACTATGCCACGGGGCCGGCCCTGTAAATAAAGTTCTTTTGGAACACAATCATGCCCATTCCATTCCATGTTGTCTATGGCTGCTTTGGTGTTTTAGCAGCAGAGTCGAGTAATTGTGACAAAGACTGTGTGGCCTGCAAAGCCTAAAATATTTACTGTCTGATCCTTTACAGAAGTTTGTCATCCTCTGCGTTAGCCTGTCCTAATCCTATGCAGAAGTGCTAAAGTAACAGGCAGACGGCCTTCAAGGGAAAGAAAAGAACACGGCAGTTCTTTTTCAGTGTAATGGGCTAATAGGACTGGGACATGCTCAAAGATTCTTGAGAAAAATGCCCATAATTTTAAATTTACTTAATTTGTAAACTAGAAATCACTGGAATCATTTAATTGTTCCCGGAAAAGTATTCTTCCCCATGTAAGTTCTTCAGAAAAAAGTGTACTGTATTTGGGGAACTTAACACAAATCAGACTTAATACAATTTAGTCGTCAGAATTTTATCTTAGTGGGTTTTAAAGAACTTAGTTTATGAACAGAAACTAAAATGGCATTTGAAATTTATGTCTATAAATATTTATAAGTTAAAAAAATTTGTATTCAGACAGAGGGACAAATTAGAAGAAATCCTGCGGGGTTTAACTCCAAGGAAAAATGATATTGGAGATGCAATGGTTTTCTGTCTTAATAATGCTGAAGCTGCTGAAGAAATAGTGGATTGCATTACTGAGTCATTATCCATCCTAAAGACACCCCTTCCCAAAAAGGTATGGAAATGGTTTCTCTTTATGGAACATTTGATGAAGTGAAAGGGAGATATTAGTTGACTTCTTTTTGGATTGAAATTGGTTTGCTTTTTTGCATGAAGAACTTGACTGAAGAAATCTTTCCCTTGCAGTCTTATTTTCCTTCTGCCTGGAAAACTTATGTTAATTGACACAGAAGTTATCAACAGGTTGAAATGTAAATGCGTTACAAATTTTATCCCTGCCAAAGTCATGGTTGTGGTGATGTTGAATTTCTTATAACTCTTCTAAGTAGCTGTGTTTATTAAATTATAGCTAAACATTAGCCTTATGCCACTAATTCCAAAAGATTTCAATATGGAATTTTTTCCCAGATATATTATTCACTGTTGGTTTTTAATCTGTTTTATGTTGTCTTTTGGTATTCTAGATTGCCAGATTATATTTGGTTTCTGATGTTTTGTACAACTCTTCAGCCAAAGTTGCTAATGCTTCATATTATAGAAAGTTGTAAGTATAATGATGTAAGCTGATATTCCTGAAATAAAATATTTAAGGGTAAGGAGTTTATTAAAAGGATTTTGTTCATTAACACCCTAATAATAAATAATTTAAATTTTTTCATAGTTTGTAGAGTTTTGTAAAAACTTGGATTGCGTTCATTGAACTAAACCAGTTTAAGCTAAATTACCGGTTTTTGGGGAATTTTTTGTATCAGTTTTTTGATTAACTATTGATAATAGAACAAATAGGAAAAATTAAAAAATGACTTTATTTTTCTTGCGTATTTAGCTACTTGCATAATGAATAAGCTGAAACAATAGAAATAATGGCAAACATAAAGGCAGAGCATTAACTGTGTATAGACTCGACGTTCTCTTCTGATTGTCATTGTATTGCTGTAGTTCATTGTTCACGTTTTCCCAGGCAATAGGAAATTATGTTTCTGTACTGTAATTAATATATAGCTCTTCCTCAATTCTCCAGAGTTCTTTTTGGTGTTTATTTTATGAATAGGGAAGCTTAGGAAGTTTGGGAATTTGGGTCCTAATGTTAGCTCTGCTATTAGTTTTTTTGCCTTGGAGAAGTCACTTTTTTCCTTTTCCTATTTTATAAAACAAAGAAGTCAGACTAGATGGCTCAAAGTATCCTAGATGTAGAGTTCCTTGATAATCAAGGGAACTAGTTCTTAAGACTTTTACGGATTTTGTAGGAGAATAATTCAGAATAATAGGAGTTAAAGCAGTTAAATTATGGTTTTAGAGTTTAAGCACCTAGTTCTTGATTTTTTAAAGAATTACTTGATTAATTTATACGTTTTTTTTTTAAGTCCACGAGGGGTTTTCAATGGCTAGCATGCTGAAGTGGATAGGGATTTTTAAACAAATTCTATTGTAAAAAATATACTATTTGAATTTCAGTTTTGAAACAAAGTTATGTCAGATATTTTCAGACCTCAATGCTACCTATCGTACAATTCAAGGCCATTTACAGTCTGAAAACTTTAAGGTACGTTTATTTTATTATTTTTGCCCTAGTGTTTTAAACGGGGGATGGTGGCTAGGAAGCACATTGGAGGGCTAGGAAAGTACCTAAGATAAGTATAAGACATAACTTGCATTTTTCAGAAATTATCATTTTAAAATTTAGTGCCATTTTACTTTCAGTATCAAAAAATGTCCTGAATTTTAAAATGTATTATCTAGTATTATTTTGTCAGATATTTGTTTTAGGTTTAAGTGTTTTATTTAAATATTTTAAATATTAGCCTTCTCTTTTCACAAAACACATTCAGAAGATAACTTGTTTTGTAATGGTGTATATAATTTGGCTGGATTAGGAACATTCATTTTAGTTACTCGTATTTAGAAAGTATATTGACTTAACTAATTTTTTATAACCTCTTAAGATGTAGATTAATGTTAAGAAAAGCCAAAGTACCTTACTTATAATTGAATAACTAGATATACTTATCATGGGAAGAAGAGTTATTAAGGAAATTTCTTAGTTTGAGAAGATGCCCAATGACACCACCATTTAGGGGATTCAAACAAACAACTCCATTTAAAAACTTCTTGACTTTAAATTTTCTCCATAAGTCAGAGCTTATAGAAAAGTTTACAGCGGAGACAGAGAAACGTGTGAGCCAGAATCAGGAAGTACTTCTTTGAATCATTAGGGAATTCAGGTCAAAGCTTGATTTACCTTGATATCCAGCTTTCCTAAGTTTCTCAGCTGGTCTTTCCCAGAATGTGGCCTCAAGCGTACCTCTAGTAGAATGGGACATGGAACTTCAGTGGTCAGGAGCAAATAGTTACTTTCTTTTTCGTTGTATTTAATTTTTTTCCTTTTAATTAGATGACATTGATTTTTTAAAAGCATTTTAATGATAGTTATTCTCTTTGAATTTTAAAAACAATATCTGGTTAAAGGAATATTCAGCAAATTGTGGTGGTCATTCTCATGAGATGAAGTTTGAAACATACTGCCCTAAATGATAATTCGTCGTCTTTTCCTATTTATTTAGCAACGGGTAATGACCTGCTTCAGAGCATGGGAAGATTGGGCAATTTATCCAGAACCATTTTTGATCAAACTGCAGAATATTTTCTTAGGACTTGTAAATATTATTGAAGAAAAGGAAACAGAGGTAGGCACTCAGTGTATTTGTCTGATTATTTTAAAATGTATTTCTGGGGGTGCTGTGGAAGTGTGATAGATTACAGATGTGAGTAACATTTCTTTGGGGAAAATACTTACTGTTTATCACTAAATAGTGACATTTCTTTTGCTGGAAGATCTGAAATTACGTATAACAGGAATTCTCTGTTTTGAGTCTTTATGTGAAAATTGGTGACTGGTTTTTTATTTGATGACATGAAAAGATTTATATTACTAGAAGAAAGCAAGTAATAGAGCAATATATAGCATGATTTCATTTTGTTAAACTAAAGATAGCTATATAAGTTAAATATGTACATGAAAAGATGTACCACAATGCTAGCAGGTTCTGTTCATCACCATTCTATTACTTTTTACTTCCTCAGTAATTCTTGAAACCTTAGTCTTCATTTCTACCATCCTAATGCAGCTATCATAATTTCACTGTGTCTCTTATAAGATCCTCCTAATTGGCCTCCCTTCTCCAACTACATGGTCCTCGTTTCAGTTTCTTAAATGTACAGTGTTTCCTCCTACCATATACCCTTATACATGTTCTTCCCTCTTTCTGGAAGTCTCCTTTTTACCTGAGATCCTTCAGATCTCAGTTTAAGCATAGCTTCATTGAGCCTTCTCAGAACTCTTTGGGTGAAACCTACTTATTATACACTGTAATAGTACAATATACCTCTTTGTTGTAGCAGTCATCATAGTTGCGGTTATATATATATTGTCGTGATTATCTGATTGCCTGGCTCATATTCCCACCCCAGTTCTGTCCCCCCTCCTCCAACTTCCCCCCATTCTACAAAGCTCTGACAGGAGGGACCAAGCTCATTTCTGCTCGTCATTGTATCCTCAGTACTGGATGATAAATTATGTTCTTATTATGTCCTCACATTGTAGCTAGGAATGTGGCTATCCAGCTGGTTGGTTTATACTGGATTGCAAATTAATGTTGTAACAATATGACTTTAGCAATATTACGATAGTATGTGTGTTTCCATAGGATGTACCGGATGACCTTGATGGTGCCCCTATTGAGGAAGAGCTTGATGGGGCACCTCTAGAAGACGTGGATGGAATTCCTATTGATGCTGCTCCCATTGATGACCTCGATGGAGTCCCTATAAAGAGCCTTGATGATGATCTTGATGGAGTGCCTCGTAAGTTCAAATTTCAAACTGATTATATCTAGCTCATAAGTCTGATTCCCAGAACTCTTTAATTTACATACATGCTGATATGGAAAAAGGTTACAATTTCTGATTAAGGTGTCAGTCATTAACTTTTTTCTGTCTTTTATTTATTTCTGACTTTGCAAAATTCAAATACCCAGTTATACATTTGACTGTGCCAAGAAGGTTTTCTTTCTGATCACGTGTCTTTTATTATTAGTTTTCCTAACTTACAGGTTCACTTTTCCTGACTGCCTAAAATCATTTTTGGAAGTAGGAAGTGTACACAATGTTCAGTACATTTGAATTATATGTTAAAATATTGAATAATATATTCTATAGTTTAAACAATAATTAAGTAAAGATAATAAGGATTTTTTTACTTCCTCCACTTTTGCATTTGCTTGAAATAATAATAACCTGAATGTTCGCAGTTGATATATATATATACACTATTTAAAAATTGGACCTCAGATGCAGAGAATTGGATTAGTCACGATACTTAATCTTGACACTAGCATTTTAGTCCGTGTGTGGCCTTATTTTATTTTACTTTTTAGTAATATAGTGAATACCCATGAACTCTTTTAAGTTAGGTCATCCTTAGTAGTCAGGGTTAATAGCTCATCTTTCCTCAATAGTGGATGCGGCTGAAGACTCAAAGAAGAATGAGCCTATATTTAAAGTTGCCCCATCAAAATGGGAAGCTGTAGATGAATCTGAATTGGAAGCACAGGGTGAGTAAAACTATAAGTATTAAGCTTTAAAAAATTGAGTACTTAAAATTAATTATTGGTGCGTGTGTATGTTTTCCCTTTATATTTTATAGTATGTTTCAACCTTAAGACCCAGTGTTATCATATTTTATTGTCTAGGTTTTCATTGTGGTTGCTGTTATAATTTTCTTAGGTCCTTTGGTTTGGATGCTTTGAGAGGAATCAGAGAAATCACTAAAGACATTTCAGGTTAAGGCATTTCAGTAGAAAATGTAGAAGGGAAGCTATACCTATTTGGAAATCTACTTAGACGTCAGTTTCAGAGAAACCAAGCTTTGACTCTCCCATAATGCTTCACCTGTTAGATTCAGTTGAGACCTGCCTTTCATACTTACTTGGACATGTATCCTAGGCTTATAATCTGTAATTGTTAATATTTTTAGATTCTAATGAAATAAATCCTACCATCCTGCACAGAAATAAGGAGACATTGTGTCGTTTTGTGAATTTGAATAAAATTGTAGTGTCGGTGTGAGGAAAGAAATAGATTTAGCACATGGGAATGGCTGTTCAAATAGATATAGATAACTTCTGTAATACAAACTTTCAGTTCTAAAGCTGGGCTTCTACTATGCTACTGCAAAAACGCTAATTTACCTTATGGAATTACATCCTTTCTTTCCTTCTGTTCAGCTGTAACAACTTCTAAATGGGAGTTATTTGACCAGCATGAAGAATCAGAAGAAGAAGAAAATCAAAAGTAAGAATCTAAGTTTCAAATATACTCAGTTTCTTATTGCATATATGCTCCTTTTTTCATTAAGAGATATGCTTGAAATAATAGTGAAGAGGAAAACTTCACTCAGAAAAACTTGAGGATCATTTTTAGTTCTCCGTTGTTTTTCCACTGAATAAAGAACTTTTGATTTCTGGTCTTGATGCATCTGGTTTCACTGTGCCTTTGAGTTTATTTCTCTGCACTAGGTTATATGTTCTCACTTTGTAGTTACTAATTGGTCACATGTATTTATTTCAAATCTTAGCTGTCAAATATTGTTTTGGCTCCACAAAAAGTGATTTTTAAAATGTGAATGGGAAGGTCATGTTCTTTTTCTTTTGGGTTTACATTGCTAAGAAAAATATTGTATTATGATCATTCCGTTATGTTATTTAAATACCTCAGAAGAACTAAGTAAATAAAGGAAAAAAACTTTTCCTTTAACCTATAGAGAAATATTATCATTTTGAATTTTGCTCTTCGGTTATTACCCCAAAATTGTTTTTGCATTTAATACTGACTGTGATTATAGGAATTCTTACCCCTGAATTCTCCTGCAAGTTTATATTGGCAGTTTTTAGATAGCACTTGACACCTTTTTAAATCAATGTAAAGGAAGTTAATTTTTTAAGCAGGAAAAGAGATGACTTCAAGAACACAAAGCAGAGGCTTCTGTTTTTTGAAAAAATCTTCTTCTGTTCTTCTTCAATGGAAGAGTGAGCAAAGGGAGGGTCCCGTGTGTCCCAGCACAACTTGGGCATTTGTATGGATTCAGTCAGTGGCATTAGTAGCTTTTAGATTGTTAAGGAAATGTGATTGATCAGCATTTATGAAAAACAATTTGATATGATGGGGGAAACTTGGCAACAGTGCTGTCTTTCCAGAAACGTTGTTGTGATCAGATCAAGTCAGCAATGATTATGACAAAATATTTACAAAATATAGATGTGGTTTGCTGATGGAAATACCTATCCGAAGCTGTTTAGGAGTACGGGAATTGAGTACTAAAATTGGTAGTTTGCTTTAAAAAACAGTGGTTCTTTTAACCTTTTTTATATCTAGAATCCCATCACTCAGTAGCATCTCTCACCATTTCTAGAATCACTGCTTTAAAATGACTATTTGTACTCATAGTTATTTAATTTAGAGGAAAGGAAGGGTAGAAAAGCCATTTCAGAACTCAAATATTGTTGAATTGGTTTTGTTTCTACAAGTATTCACTTTATTGTGTTAATGTTTGAAATGTGAATGCCTTTTAGTATGATGGTAGAATAATCATACATTGATACAGTGAAGCATGGATCCCTGGAAATATTTTTTTGATTTTTCTTAGGAGCTCCAAGTAAATCATGATAACATAAAAATAACTTCGTGAAAGTACAAAGCAAGGAAAAAATACTTTTTCACATACAGTACAACTTTCTGGTCCTTGAAATTTTCTTATGCCTCTCTACTACTCCCTGGTGGCTGAATCCAAAATGCCTTTTTACTAAGGAGCTGCTTTTTGAAAGTAGTAACTGTATTTATTGCAGAAATGTGATTAAAAAAATATATAACACTACCAATGTTTTGCAGAAAAGTTAGAAATAGCAATTTAATTTCATTTGTAATGAATTCTGTATGGGTTTAGAATCTGGAATTTACATTTCTTTAAAAGAAGAGCAAGATGAAGCAATGATGAGATCTGAGCCTGAAACTGGTAACTAAGAGCTAAAGCTAAAACCAATTAGAGGGCCAGCCTGGTGGCGCAGTGGTTAAGTGTGTACGTTCCGCTTTGGCAGCCCAGGGTTCGCCGGTTCAGATCCTGGGTGTGGACATGTCACTGTTTGGTAAAGCCATGCTGTGGTAGGCGTCCCACATATAAAGTAGAGGAAAATGGGCATGGATGTTAGCTCAGGGCCAGTCTTCCTCAGCAAAAAGAGGAGGATTGGCAGCAGTTAGCTCAGGGCTAATCTTCCTCAAAAAAAAAAAAAAAAACCAATTAGAACAGACTGCTCAGGCCTTGCAAAATTAAAATAGCAATTGTAAAATATGTGTATATTTTAAATTACCCAAAGTATAATGCAGCTCACTTAAAAAGTCTTAAATAATATGATTAGTCTTTAGTGCCTAGCCATCTAGATCTTTTCTCTCTATATATAACAACATACATATCTACTTTAAACATAAATTATATAATACTGTACATACTGTTTTGTGATCTGCGTTTTTCATTGAAGTGTCATGGATATTATTTCATGTCCATCTGTGTATTTATCCACTCTGAATTAAGCATTCAGATAAGTGTACAAGGATGTTTACCAAGGACTATTTGAAATTGCAGAAAAAACTTTTTGAAAAAATCATAAATAATAGGGCTGAAATTGGTTAAGTAATTTCCATTGTGTAGATAACTACAGTTTAACTAACTGTCACGTCCTTATTGACTGACCCTTTCCAGAGTAATCTTTCAGTAAATGTCTGTATTTACACCTACACGCAGAAATAGTTTAATCATTTAGAAGCATCTAAAAAAAAGCATCTGAAATTCTTGTGTTTTAAAAAATTAACTAAAAACTGCGTTTAGGAAGTTTCTGACAAATTAACAAGAAATATTAAGTAAAGTATTTTGAAGAAGAATCTAGTTTTTTCGTGGTTGGTTTTGATTTTTTTCTTTCTCACGTAAGTATTGTATTGAGTTGTACTTGAGTGTGGTAGTAATGATTTGTGGGGCTCTTAGAGTGTAAAGTTTGTAAAGCATTTTATTAGTGTTCTGGAAAGGATCTTTGGATGAGAAATTCAAGAGCTAGTAGCATGGTCTTCTGTTAGTACCATGTTGTGTCTGATTTTGAATTCCCAGCACTTTGTGTGTCTTGCTTAAATATTTCTCATTCAGTGTGAATCTAATTATCACTCTAAAATAATTAAATGTTTATTTGGAAAGGTTTTGGTTATAACTTTCTACATTATGGATAGTTTTAAATATATGCTAAAAGGATACCCTCTACTTAAGGTAAAATGTATTTAGTACCCAAATACCAACAAATAAGGGTTTATCATGTTCAGATATTAAAGGGAAAAATGACATATTTTCTAGGCTATGCCAGTAATGTTAATACACAATCAATATTGTTTATAAGGAATTTTATTTGTGTAAACATAAACATTCTGAGTTTGTTTGTACATGGATGAATTGTTTTGCCCAGATTTAACATAGATACACACAAAGCCCAGTCCCAGAACATACAAGTCTTTTTTTAAGCTCCTTCATTCTTTCTGCTTCAAGAACATTCTGTTAATCCTATTCTAGCAATGATGACCAGTTTTACATATAGTTGCCTGCCTCTACACTAGATTGCTTCTGGAAAGAAGTTTTCTTCTGTAGCTTGCCCATGGTAGTCACTTATTTTTTCATTTTCTTCTTGTCTGACCTAGAACCAGTACAACTTTCAAAATCACCTATGACATAAAGTATTAATGTGTGGTAATATTTAAAATATATCCATTACTTTATTCCTGGGGTTATGAGCTAACCAAATAAGGTCTTTCCTGCTGCATTGATTGTTTCATAGTAACTCTGTGTGACTCAGACTCATGTTCTAGTTTATAGGCTCTGCTGAAGAAAGGGTAAACATTTGGGTTTTTAAACATTAAGCTTGATGAAATCACTCTGAATTGTGAAGTATGCAGAAATCTTTGATTATTCATTTCATTTAACTGCTGCAAGGGAAGTTGCAGGATGAAAGGCATACAGATAAGATTAACAAACAATTTTTAAAAGTATGATTATGTTGAAGCTCAAACTTTTTTTGTGAAGGAAACAAGAATTTTATAAAATTGTGTATATTATTGGATCAGATATTTTATAAAAAATGTTTTAGTGGTGAATTGTCGTCTTACGTTTTGTTAACGTTACTTAAACTCTAAGGCAGTGAAAAATAAAAATGCCAGACTGAAGAATGTAACTTTTTTTTGCTGCCTTGACATACAGTGTATGTTCTGCTTATTTCCAAAGTCAAGAAGAAGAAAGTGAAGATGAAGAAGACACTCAAAGTTCCAAATCTGAAGAACATCATTTGTACTCTAATCCAATCAAAGAAGAAATGACTGAGTCCAAGTTCTCTAAGTACTCTGAAATGAGTGAGGAAAAACGAGCTAAACTTCGTGAAATTGAGGTTAGTATTGCAGTGAAGTTTAAACAGCACTTCACTGGCCTTCTTTCACCTTTTCCACCAAACTAGGCACCCTCTTGGCATTGTACCTTGGTACGTACCGTTCCCTCTCTGCCTAGAAACCTTCAAACCAGCTGACTTCCTTCAGGCCTTTTTAGTTCAAGCATCCTTTTCCTCGTATCCTTTTCGTACTCTTCTGGATTTGCTTACTTCTCCCTATTTATCTCTGTTGTGATTTTACAAGTATTGTGGTATATGTATTATGTTTTTTTTTTCTTGCTTGCTTGCTTGTTTAATGTCTGTATTCCCCACTAGGCTGATTTCCATTAGAGGAAAGGACCATGTCTGTTGTCTGTTCATCATCATATCTCCAGTGCCTGGCACATAGGAGATCCTCTGAAGATACTGATTCTAATGAATAGACTGTATCTGCATTATGAAAATCATTACATTTTGGGGCTGGCCTGGTAGTGTAGCAGTTAAGTTTGCATGCTCTGTTTTGGTGGCCAAGGGTTTGCAGGTTCAGATCCCAGGTGCGGACCTACACACTTGCTTATCAAGCCATGCTGTAACAGGTGTCTCCCATATAAAATAGAGGAAGATAGGCAGAGATGTTAGCTCAGGGCTAATCTTCCTGAAAAAAAAAGGGAAAGGAAAATCATTACATTTTGAGTGTATGTGGTGTGTAACAAGGAAAAGTGAGATTTTCTGGCATGTTCAAGTTATATGTACATTTTATTACAGTAGGCTCATTTTATGTGTCTGCACCCCTTAGTGATGTGGAGAGAGTAGACATTAAGTGGGGCTTAACAATAAGAAGGAGAAAAACTTGAAAGAGTCCAAACTATCTCAAGCAGATTTTTCCCTTCCTCTAGCTCCTGTCCTTTTTCAGTGCCTCTTTTTTATTACCAAAGGTATTCAGACATGTCAGAGAGGGAAGGGTTTTGCAATAGGAGCGTTCCTCCTATTTCATCCACCTTCATTTCACCTCCACGGTGATGAAACATTCCCAGTAAATGTTAGCTGCAGTGTTGCAGTCAGTCCAGAGCCTCAGAAGTATATGTGACAGTGAATCTTAATACTCTGTCCTTTCGTTTAACAGTATTTTGAATGCCTCTTGTGTGTCAGTGCTATTCCTTTTACTAACTCGTAATCTCTACCACATTAGTTACCCTGTTTCTGCTTCTCCACCCACACACTGTTAGGCTGATGATAAGTTCTTGCCCACCTCTTTCTCCAGTATCACCTAGCCAGAAAGTTAACGGAGAAAGTATTTTGTTTTAACCTTACACAGAATCAGTATGGTGTCAGTTATAAGTGGAGAGGAGACATTTTTAGAGTTAATAAGTTGATTCATTTTTCCTGGGATGTATGCATATACATTCTTTATAAGATTTTTAGGGGAATAAGATATTGTGTATCAGTGAATGCCCTCAGCTGTGGACGTTTTTCAAGCTGCACATGTCCCTTCTTAACTCTCAGAGCTCCTCCCAACCATACTCAACTCTGCCTTACTGACCTGATGGAACTGTTGGAGTAGAAACAAAGACTGAGTTCAATAAAAATATGTTTTCTTGATAATTGGAGTTATCCCCTTATAAATGTCAAAACAGACTGATCATTGTTAAATGTTCTGTCTCCTTATTGACTTAGAAGAAAACCATGTAATTTAGCTTTTTATTAATTGGAATGGTTTTTATGAATCTTACTATTTCCACACTGTATATGTGATATACGTGTGTACACGCATTTCTGTACTTTGTGTGCTCTTTGATAATGTCTCTTCTCCCTTCGTTGTCAGACACTCAGCGCTTGTTTCTCCTGCTCTCATAGTGCCTACCTCTTAGAATTTACTTGCCCTTTTGAGCTTTGGACTGTGAACCAAATCCTAATTTTAAAACATAGATCTTGGCTTCATTTTAGAATTACCTAATTCTTCTCCCTTATTTACTCTGAGATTTAGTCATGTGGCATAAAGGTCCACAACTGGTGGCAAATTTGGACTAGAACTCAGCTCATGAGCATTGTTGCTGTGTTCTTTTTTCTCTGCCCCTAAATTGAATGTCACTTTCTGAATATGGAATCCAGTGAGTACTCTTTTATTGGAGAATCCTTAAATAAAGAATAAAGTTCTAATTAATTTTATTCTATGTTATAGTATATATAGTATGTATGATGCATCTGTATACTGTAGTTTTTCTTTTTAAAAGCTCTTCTCGTTCCCCAAATATGTCCTAATAAAGATATCTTTAGGTGAACATTTTTTAGCATGGGATTAATAGACACCAAAAGATTTGTGTTATAAAATATTGACATTCTCTACAAAGCACTTCGAAAACATCCAGCCGTATGATGTTGTAGCGTTGCCTGGAAGCAAGTTCTTAATCTTTCAGATACCACTTAGAGCAGTGCCCAGGCTGGAGCTGTCTTTTCCAATTCTGCTGTTATCCTTATTTCTCCTAACAAGGATTGGAAGAGTGGAACACTAGATGGGGAGCCAGGTGGCGGGTCTTCTATGTTGTTGGAGAAGAAAGATCCCTTTTCTGTCCTGATCCCCGAGGAAAAAGTGAATAGTTGAGTGGGAAGGTGATACTTGCCACTGTCCTAGGGGAACAGAGGCGTAGAAGGCTAAGAAGCCATTGCACAGGCTGTTCTCTTTTGAGTTGGGACCCTTTGTTACCTGTTTTTTGGGTGCCCTGGACTTGTGCTTACACCTAAGTTAGGCCACATCAGCAGGAACTGTAACTTGGGATTTTATAATGATTTTTAAAAAGGTTCCCTAGGAATGCCTTTCCCCAAAGTAGCATTCAGGTCTGTTGTTTGGCTCTTGGACACTTTACTTAAACTGATTTACCACAAATACATTCTATAGAACAGAGCCGTTTTAGTCATGAGAGGCTTCACACAGTGTTGAACTCCGACATTTAAGTATCTCCCCCTTACCTTTACATCTTACCGTCTTTTAAAATGTTATCATCCTTAAAACGAGAAAAAAAAAGCCAAGACCTTGTAAGGATTTTGAAAGAAGAGAACCTCAAAGCTCTGATTATAAATGACCCTGGTTATAGAAGTGGAATTAGGTAGAAAAAGGGCAAAAATCAGAGAACTTAATAGAAATGCTCATGAAGTCAGAAATAGTGAAAGGAGGATGGTACCACCTGGTTACGGTCCCAAACCTGTACAATCTTGTTTCACTCGAAGAGGGGGGTGGGGGAGACATTCTTGTCTAATGGAATTATTGTAGATGCAAGCATCATAAACTGTTTTATTCAGCAGTGATATGTCCTTAAAATGGACTAAATGCTGTTAGAATATTTTATTTATATTTTAAAAATAAGATCTCAATTGTTTTAGGCTTTCCCCCTCTCCCTACAAATGAGGGTTTCCAATAGAATGGAAACAAGCTACAAAACCTTTTTTTCCTTTCAAAGAGGATATACCATCCAGGATCCATGTGCTGTCCACCTCTGCCTCTAGCATCGTCTAAGTCCTCCTGCTTTTCACCTTATTTGTCCTTCCTTAGTTCAATAAGGAGGTGTATATAATCAGCCAGTAATCTCTTGGTAAACTATAGGTGGTCATTCTTTCACAAACAATGCTATAGTGAATATTTCTGTACAGATAGTTTTGTGTTTGTGTATGGATACATTACAAGAAATGGAATTTGAAGTTTTTGTGATCTTTTTTTAATCAGTATATACTCTTACTGTCTTAAAAAGTACATTCCAAATGTGATTTAACCTTTTTTGATGTCTTGATGACTAGTGATTGCACTATACTGTAAAAGGAGTGAAACCTTCAAACTATGCAGCTCTGTGTTTTGTCCTACACGAGCTGTAACCAGCATGCTGCTGTTCTTTTTAAATAGTTGCTTATCTTTGTATGTTCTGCTGGCTGTCATATCTTGCTGGAAGTATGCTTGCCTGTAGCGACATTGCCTTTCTAATTTGGGGAACCAGATACCAAATTCATTATCATTGTGTTGAGATAATAAGTAGATTCTTCAGGGCATATGAATCACAGTCATCTCATATGGCTATGCAGGCTGTGGACCCACAGCTAATCACTTGAATTTTGCGTAGTTGGGCATGTCTCACAAGTGGCCTTCAGATAAGGGGGTTTTATGTTGACATTATATTTTGACTGAGTCATAATCAGTTACTACTTTGCTGTTTTGATGTTTTTCCTTTTTACACACTTGTTTTAAAGAAAAGAATTTTTTAAAAAAGGGGCAAAGGAGGCCTTTAGAAGCTATAGTGATGAAAAGATTTATTTTAAACATGTTTTATTTCACAGCTCAAAGTTATGAAGTTTCAGGATGAATTGGAATCTGGAAAAAGACCTAAAAAACCAGGCCAGAGTTTTCAAGAGCAAGTAGAACACTACAGAGATAAACTTCTTCAACGAGTAAGGAAAACATATACACAAATAATGTGCACTTTCCAAAGTTACTTGTTTGACTACCTAGAAAATTGGTATATTGGTATACTTAAGGAAAAGTATATTTCAAATTACATTCTTTGGTGTGTAAATGCTGAATACTGGTAGACAGGGACATTTGAAATTTGATGTTCTACAATTATTTCAACTTGGAGAAAGGTCTTAGGGCATCAGCACAGTATTTTATTCTGGATACTACAAGTGGACTAGAAAACCCTGCTGAAAACATGCTTTCAAAACTGGAAGACCCTCCAGAAAGAGTCACATTTGTGGCAGTGAGATACTGACAGCCCCTGAAGTGGCACAGAGACAAAGATGGAGTTAGAGATTGGGAAGTTCGTTTAGGGTTCTTTCCATTGTTTCCAAGGAGGGACAGCAAGTGGTAGAATACCTTGTCAGTGAATTCTAAGCTTTTGAGGGACCTCATATTCTTGTACATAAAAAAAGTATGGATATACAGAGAATTTTAGAACAAGGAGGCCCATATTGTAATTGTTGAAAGAACTCAGGAATTTTATTGGGACTGCTATTAATTTTTGCCTATGTCTTGACTGTCATTACAAAATAGATTACATAGAAAGAGAAATAGGACAAAGCTAGAAAGGAGCTGACAGTCACTACGAAGCTATTAATAGTGTACAAGTGGTGGTGTGAGCAGCAGTATGGTAAAGCAGCTTTGTGCTGCACTGATCTGTGGTCTCCTGGTGCCACTCTGCTGAGCACTTCTAGCCAAGTCACTGAAGCCTGCCTGTTCTCTGTGAGACTGGGTTGATTGTCCCAATTTAGCAGTATTTTGAGTTAGATAATAGCTACTATTACTCTTATTATTGAATTAAAATGTTTAAAATATTTTAAGTATTTTAACTGTAATTTGATTCCTATAAAATTATGAATCAGGAAAATACATCCTACAGATCACCAGAGGGAGTCAGTCTCCTCAGCATCACTTTTTAAATTTGTACACTATATGTTGTATTAGGAAAAAAGATAAATGAGATTTTTGAAAAGATGCCATGTATCTGTACCCCATGAGTGCCTTTGGAGATGATGGCAGGTGTTTGATATGCATGAAAGACTATACCTTGAGATGCTCACTGGTCCTGATGGTAGTAATACATGTATTACCATTTTAGTCTCCTTGCATTCCGTGATTGTAATTGGAGAGAAGGATGTGTTTGAAGGTACATACCAGGAGTCAGCTGACTGGCCATCAACTCATTTTTTTAAATAAACTTATTGCAACACAGCCATGCCCTTTCAATTATCTGTGGCGGCTTTTGGACTACAGGGGCAGAGTTGAATACTTGTGACAGAGACTGTATGTGGCCCACAAAGCAGAAAAATATTTACTATCTGGCTCTTTACAGAAAACATTTGCCAACATCCTGTATAGGCTTTTTATCAGCTCTCAGATAGCTTTCTTGATGCATCCAAATCATAGAGAAATTAAATTCCTGTTAGCGGAGAGCTAAATTGGCTTTGTGGGTTCATTGTTTGTAGCCACTCCTTTAATTGTATTATCAACAGAAATCATAATTTCAAGTGAGAAGTGGTGATTGTCAGTAGCTGGGGATAAGCAAATAAATTATTTTTCTGGTTTATATAATTGTGTAGTCATGTCATCAGTTTGTACTTTTATAAAGTAGGATTTAAAATGTCCAATACAGTGGTACTTGTTTCTCACTAATGAGATTTTCTGATGGACAGTTATCGTGAATAGTTATTTCCCCTTTTCGTCCTATTGCTTTGGTAAGAGTTCTCTTGATTAAATCAGCTTGCTGTACAATTAGAATCGCAGCTGACTGTTTTCTTGTAGTCTGAGATGGAAAGGTCAATATATTGTCAGTTTTTCATAGTTTTTTTTAGTGGAGGGACAGTACTCAGTAGGTAGTAGTTAAGAGCCCTGGCTCTAGAGCTTGGGCTCAAATCCTGACTTCACCATCCTGTGTGACCATGGGCGTGGTACTTAACCTTTCTGAATCTCATTTTTCATCTCTAGAATGAAGATAATAGTACTGTTCTTACGGGTCTTTGAAGGATTACATGAAATAGTATATGAAAGTTGTTTAGTAATTGCTTGGCCTATGGTAAGCACTCAGTAAATGTTTAGCTGCTGTCACTGGTATCACTACTATTATTAAATGCAGTAGAAGGAATGACTAGTTTTTATGGAAAAGTGGGTATTTTTTAAAAAGTCGTGTTGTGCCGTTAGTAGTGATTTAAAAAATGGTTAACCAAAAGAGAAAATACAGTTACATAAATGAGATTAACCCAGGTTGCTATTTTTTAATGACTAAGTATTCTTTCTTTAAAAAAACAAAACAGGAGAAAGAGAAAGAATTAGAAAGAGAACGAGAAAGAGATAAGAAGGATAAAGAAAAATTGGAATCTCGGTCCAAAGACAAGAAGGAGAAAGATGAGTGTACTCCAACAAGGAAAGAAAGGTAGAACATTTCTCATTTAATTCCTAAACTGGTTTCAAGATTTGGAATGATGTTTCATTTTGTAATATTTTCATCACTAATGCCAACAAACTGAAAAAGTATTTTTTCATGATAAATATGTTTGACTCCTGCCTGCAGGAGGCAGAATTAGCTGAGAAATGGGGCATTTAGTTGGCACTTGGCTTATTAACTGGGCATCATCCCTTTACATGGTTCATATAGTACCTTCACCTTACTTCAGTGCAAGAATTCAGTTAGCGTATTAGATAGCAAACCTGAGGCTTAACTAACTCAACAGCCAGCTAGGCCTTCCTTGTTGCCTCTAGTTAAACGTTTCTTCTGTGCTGAGGCTCTACCTGCAAACTTGAGTCTCCCAGTCCTGTCTCAAAAGGACATTTTGTACCCAGGCCATAGGGACTTGATCCTCGCTTTGTCTTCACTCTAATCAAAATCATTTCTCTTTTAGTCTTTATTTCTTACTTTCACAGTTCCTCAATCGCTGATTTAGTAGAGAAAATTGCTTCAGTTAATGGAACTGAGGTTTTCCTAATAAAAACCAAGTGAATGCAAATAAAAAAATTCTGGCTTAGTCACTTGACAGATAGTTACAAATATAGTATATTAATTGGTTAAATAATAAATCTATCACTTTTTTGTCTGTTATTATTGTTTTGTTATAATTTCAATTTCTAGAAAAGTTGCGAGAATAGTATAAAGAATTCCCAGATATCCTTCACCCACATGTCCCAGATGTTAAAATATTTCTATTTGTGCTATATTTTCTTATTCTCCTTTTCCCCCCTTCCCCCCTCAACCATTTAAGAGTACCTTGCCTTCGTGATGCCCCATTTTCTTATATAACCATAATAAAAATTTTATGATCAGGAAATTAACATTAAAAAAACACTGTTATCAGAGACCTTAATGAAATTTTGTCCATTGTCCCAATAATCTCTTACAAGCAGAAGAAAATCCAATTTAGTTGAATTCAGTTTTTGTCTCAATCAACCTATCTTTAAGACTCATTTATTCTTAGTAAAAAGGGCTTTGAATGTTGTTGGAAAATAACGTTAATAAGGTCAGTGAAAATAAAGTTAGTGTAAACTGGCAGGAATTAGTAGCTAATTTAGTAGAAGGAAGATTAATGCCTGACCCTTGCTCACTTATGGAATGTTGGGGGCTTTGTTCCATAGGAAAAGGCGGCACAGCACATCCCCCAGCCCATCTCGCAGTAGCAGTGGTAGACGAGTGAAATCCCCATCACCAAAATCGGAGCGATCAGAGCGTTCAGAAAGATCTCATAAAGAGAGCTCACGATCCAGGTCATCTCACAAAGATTCTCCTAGAGATGTTAGCAAAAAGGCCAAAAGGTAAATGCAAGTCCTTTCTTGTAATATTTCCAATGCCAGTTTCCTTGTCATTCTACCAACTTTTGAAAATAATTTGGTTGGCAGCCATTTTTTAAAGGATCTTAGAAAACCAGAGAGAGATACTTTGATTTTAGATTATTCCTTCCCACCTTCCCATCCCAGTCTCCTCATGACCGAAAAATGCTTCCAACAGGTAAAGACCAGCCAGGAGTTTTAAACATTGTATCCAGTATTTCCTATGGAATAGGGGTAGCTGCTTTACTTTTCGTTCTGTGCTTTAGTTTCTGTAGACTATTCTTTGATTTTGTCAAGGCTAAAAGAAAAATACATCCCATCCTACCCCAAACAGTCTTATTATAAGCAAGTTCTTGGGTAGAGACTTGTGGAAATAAACAGCATAAATACCATTTCTTCAGTGTGTAATTTAGTGTGTTATACCCTTTTCCCCTTGTAGTTCCAGAAAAGTGGTTCAGAAATGTTTTATTTATCTGGTGTTATACAGAGGAATTTTCCTGAGAGCTAAAACTGCTTTATATCCTAAAACTTTATTATTGTACTCATTTTTAGTAAAATCTTTATGACATAATTTTCTCCTTTTTAAAATAGCGCTTGCGTATACAGTCAGGCGCAGCATAACAATGTTTTGGTCAATGGCAAACTGCATATACAACAGTGGTCCTGTGCGATGAGTACCATATGCAGCTTAGGTGTGAACAGGCTGTACCATGTAGGTCTATGTAAGTACTGGAGGAGAGGAAGAAATTTTCCTGTACCTTTCTAGGTTCTTCTGGCTGGTCTAAGAATTAAATTGACATGAGACAGATTAATAGAAAAACAAACAGAAGTTTAATAACATGTATGCATGGGAGAAACCCAGGAAAACTGAGTAACTTGCCAAAGTGGCCAAAGCTGCCACCTTAACTACCATACTCAGCTAAAGACAGAGATGTTGAGGGTGGGGAGGGTCATGGACTTCAAAGGGAAGGAAGGCAGTTCACAGATAGGAAAAGAATCAAACGTTTGGAAAACAAGTATTTGGGGCATGCAGAAACAGAAGAACACAGAGTGGAGCCCAACAGGCTTTTCTAGGTTCCTCCCTTTCTGCCACCTAGTTCATGTTATGCTAAGGTGATAGCTTGCTTCCTGAGATGGGTTTATCTGAATTCTTTTAGGCAGTTAAGGGGGAGTAACAAGAAAAACTTTGAGTCTTTTGTTTCTTAAAAATAATCAGCCTAAAATAATCCTCATGTTAAAGAGAGACATTTTGGGGTGGCAGGTTTTGTTCCCCTTCAGTATACTCTCTGATGTTCTCATAGTGACAAGTCACCTGATGACACATTTCTCAGAACATACCCCTGTCATTAATCACTGCTTGACTGTTTATATATAGCGTATTTATTTGTTTTGGTCATCTTCGTGAACAGCACTTAGGCAATCATGCCATCTCTAATGATTCCCTTGAATGAGCTTGCAGTAGTTGGGGCTTTGTCCCTCAAGAAGATAGGCTGCAAAGCTGCCTGGGCTTTTAAAATTGTGAATGATCTTAGGTGCCGTTTTGAACTTTATCTTATAGATTTAGAGGTTCAGACTTTTGGGGTATGTTAGTAACCTGGGGAGCTTGTTAAAAATGCAAATTCCCAGCCCCTAACCTCAAGACTTTGATTCAGTAGAGCAGCGGTAAGGTTCAGGAATCTGTCTTTCTTAAGCAAGCGCACCACTGATGATTGCTGATGCTGTGCAAAGGAAGTACAAAATCTGTGTGCGCGTGTGTGTGTCCAGTAGGCAAAGTCTAAATTTGGAAACTTTACAACCTTTTTTATTTCAGTGACTTTGATTGTGCTTTGTTAAAGATCATTTTAGATGATATAAGGATAGTCAGTTTTGATCGCATGAGTGCTTTGATAAATTGTTTTTGTTTGTTTCCTCAGATCACCATCTGGTTCAAGGACACCTAAAAGGTCTAGGCGCTCACGGTCTAGATCCCCTAAAAAATCAGGGAAGAAATCCAGATCCCAGTCCCGGTCTCCACACAGGTCTCATAAAAAGTCAAAGAAAAACAAACACTGACGTCAGTTTTTAAGATGCTGTCATTTAGTGGAAATGCGATTTTGTTTTGTGCCTGAACGGTCTGTTTTTTTAAAAAAAAAAACGAAAAACAAAAAATCAAATGAAAGAGCATTCCTGGGGTTTTTTGTTTATTTGTTTGTGAATGCATGTGTAAACTCATGAGTAACTGCATCTGTAGACTGTCATTGTTTTATATTGTATAAATTACTTTCGTTGTGGCTGTTTTTCAAGATGAAATTTTTATTGTGCTAATGAATTTCATCAGAAATGTGTATAATGGATCTGCTGGCAGTAGTAGTATTTTGTTTTAGGATGTTGTGACTTAGCAAAAATAATACAGATGTCTTCCCCTCTTTTGTAGCTTTGACAATTTGAATTAGATTTCAAATAAAATCTGAACAGAAAACTATGATGTTGTGTTTTTGCCCTATTGGTGACATCAAGTCCCTTGAAGTCCTACTAATAAGTGAGTTTAGCACTTCTGTTGTGTTTCTTATACCTGACTGCACTTTACAAGCTCCATTGTTCAAGTAGCTAAAGTTTTATATTTACTAAGATGATTATCAAAATGAAGGGACCTGAGCCTCCGATTTGGTAGGTTTGCCAACCAGTTTCTTTGATGAGGTTCCCTTGGGTAATACTAGTACCCGGAGATCAAAGCACTAGGTGAATGTGGCATGGTGTTTTGTTAATGGAATGCCTGGCTAAACTATTTTTTCTTTTTTCAGAGAAGCAATATGATTTCAGTATACTCAACCTATGTCCTGAGCAACTACTTATTTTTAGGGAAAAATTAAATTTCTATCTTTTGATTTCATCTTCTATCATGAAAGAAGTTTATTTATAAAAGAAGTTTCCTAACAAGAGTTGGCCATAGAATTGTGTGTGTGGTGGTTGCTGCTTTATATTCCTCTGTAGGCTTGCTCTCAAACACTGGGATTGGTAGATTTCTACAGGGTTCTGTTGAAAGCACCTTGGTATTTTGTTTTTTTAAAAGAATTTAGTTCTAGGTTTAGCTTTAAGTAAAATTTAACAATAAAATAGTTTTCAGGAAGCTTTACATCCAATGATTTGTAAATTCAAGGTACAAAAAGTTGATTTAAACATTTGCAGTCAAAATCTCTTATACAATGGGAGTAAAATTGGTACAGTATGAGGAAGTAAGAAAGCTTGTGTGATGATCATAATATTTCTATAAATATAGTGTAATAAAAGGGTATGTAGACTTGAACTGACATTACTACTGTTTGTGGATCTTGCTTTCAGTTTTCATTTAGGTGCTTTATACAGAGACCGTGGAAAACTATTCTAATAATGGATTGTTTTGAGTTAGGTTACTTTATCTTTTCAGGTTGTTTTACTTAATCTTGCCTAGTCACAAAATAAAATAAGCTGTACCCAGAATTTGGGTAGTAGCTCTGTTAGCTGAGCAGTGAGGCATGCTGTTTCCAAACTGGGCAGACATAAGAGCTTTAGAAACGAGCTCATCAGATTATTTTACTTAGCGGTTCTTAGCAAAATGCAATATTGCTTGAAAGTTATTCCCTCATCATTCACTCTTTTGTTTATCCGTATTGTCAGGAAATGTTAGTTCCTAAGTGTTGCTCGACATGATTAAACATGAACGTTTGGTGCTGGTTTTTAAAAACCTACGAATATAGCCATTTTTGAAGTAGTATGCTTTTCTACCTTGTTCATTGCTTGGGAGAATGGAATTTTATATAATTATCTTTCTTTTCGAAAATAACAGTTATGTTGAATGGCTAGTGATTTGGGCATTCCATCATTTGTTGGTATCTACTATAGGCTTAGAAATAATTGGTAAGGTAATGATTTTGCCAGTCAGGTTGCAAGGAATGCTTGTTTCTCTCCCTTTAAAAACCTGGAGAAGCAAGAGTGAGTAGAAATTCTTAGGTCAGTTTTGGGTGCTTATTTGTAGTATTTTCGTACTGGAATGGAATTTCGTAGTTCTTTTAATCTTGATCCAGATACAGCAAACATCATTTGTCTTACAGTGGGTAACACTGGCTTCCTTTTGGGTGGGTGGATGGGAATTGCTTAGGCTTGATAGAATGTGTATTCTTTGAAGTTTGTTAATGTGTGTATTAGATTGTATTGGACTGTTAAAATCAGGAATTGCAAATGGTATTGATAGGTAGGTTACTTCCAGTTTTACTTAATGAACAAATATCTAGAGTAAACCTGTGTCATTCTCCATGGACTCTATGAAAGTTTGACGGTATCAGAAATTGGTGAGTTGTAAGGGGGGAGATATTCTAACATATTTTTATAATAGTATATTATTCATCTATTTCTGATCTAAAGAACACTCTTAATTAGATATAAAAATTTCTGCAGGTTGACTAAAATGTTCATGGGCACGGCCTTCTAGTTACAGGAAATACCTGTTCCAGCTCTGTAGTAGACAGTTCTTGTCCTCTCCCACAGCCACATGTGAGAGGAAATCCTCTCTTGTCTACTTATGAAGGGCGTGGCTTAAACTCTACCGTTTAACCTAACATTTATACACAGGGATTTCTTACCAGGTTAAAACCCTTTGATGTCCCTCTCTTCTACAGGTGAGAGAGTAAATAAATGGTGGTCTGTTTCTTACCTAGGAGAGACCTAGGATTGAAGAGGATTGTGTTTGTGAATCTTTTCTTGGACTTTGTATTTCCTTATTACTGTTAGTAAACATGGGCATTTCTCAACTGTAACATGTTGGGAAGTTAGAGATTAAAGAACTAAAACAACAAAAAGCCCTGACCTGAAAGAATGCTTTTATTTGGCTCAGAATGTTCTTGGCTTTTCTCCTAAAGTTTGCAGAAGTTACTATACAGTGACCTAATTTTTCTTTATTGCAGACCATTCTTGTGGGCTTAGCCTGAGACTTTTATCCCAATTAGACTCTTAGAGGGAGGAAATACTTGCTTATGACTTCTGTATTTTTTCCCCCAAACTTTAATATTCTTGAGCACTTGAAATGTTTTTAAGAAATTTCAGTCATCATCTAATTTAGGTTTATTAGGAATATTCTCTACACATTTGCCTCTGTGGTGGTATCAGTTCTGAAAATTATATAGCCATGATAATAGTTTACCACTATGATTGTTAAAAGTGAGACTAAATAGATCTCTGTGTTGCCAAAGTGACTTTACCTGTTCTGATGACCACAACAGTGTGATTTCTTTAGCAGAGAAAGTTGTTTTTGAAAACCCATAGTACTAGTTTTCCAGGACTGTACCTTTAAGAAATAAGAGCTTTTTTCCTTTGTTGTTTTCCTCTTCTATTAATGTTTACTGGGAAAGCTAATTTTAGGAAATTCAGTGCAGATACTAATGAAGACACTAGCATAAGTTGAAAGGAACATGTGACTAAAAACTCACAAAGTGCTTGGTTTCTTCATATTTCACATGCATGTTTTAGAATAGATTTTAGAGGATATTCAATTCATTATCTTTTTGGCTTATTTCTTTATTTTTGTTAACTTCCCAGGACTTAGATAATACGCAAATACAGATCCAGGGGCAGTATCGTGATGATAGACTAAAAGGTGGGAATGTGCTGCTGTTCAGAGTGAGCCTGTTCCATTATTGGAAAGCAGTGCCGCAGTGTCTCTTCAGCACCACCCGTGGAGCTTCAGTGTGAATGGGCTATATGTATTACTGGTTATTTGTATAGTTTTGTAGATCTTTAGATAAAATGCCCTTGTTCATTTTCACATGGCATTGTGCTTGGAGTATTTGTGTTCTATCCTTTTACTTCAGCAGGCTCTCGTACCTTCTATCTCTGCTGATTTGAAATATCAGGAAAGACAATTTTTCAGAAATGAGAATAATATAGTTGAAATCAGCCCAGCTGAAATATCCTAAGTGAGACAATTTCTTTTGAGTGAACTGATTCCATAATTTAGTTACTCTTGATGTAAGGATTAAGTTTATTGTGGAGCTGCTTTCCAGACTGTCACTTTATAGATTTTCTACATAAAGATTATATAGTTGCAAACAAAGGTTGTGGAATTTCCTTTTTGTTGTTGTTTTTTGACTTTTAATTACTTTAATAAAAAATGTTGTTTTCATAGCAAACTTTATACTGTTCATGTAATTTTCTCCATCCGGGTGTTCTGATACAAGCCCAGTACACTGTATCTAGGTTTCGGCAGCTTTCTAAGTGAAATAAGCGATGGGTCCCATTGTCAGTTGTAACTAAAATGCTACTACATTTTATATGTTTCAACTATAATAAAATATTTTCATGATAGATGATTCCTTTGATTAGGAAATGTCATTTCCTTATTGGTTCCCCTTTTTTTGATGAGTTATTTTGTTCTGTTTATTTCATTGAGGAAAATTTCAAACATATACAAAAGAAGAATAGTAGAATAAACATCCCTAATACCCATCAACCTCAAATATCATCTTATAGATGTATCTCTCAGTGTTTTTAAAGCATAATCACGCTATCATTATCACATTAAAAAATAATTCATTTGGGGGCTGGCCTGGTGGCATAGTGGTTAAGTTCACACACTCCGCTTCAGCGGCCCAGGGTTTGCAGGTTCAGATCCCAGGCACGGACCTAGCACTGCTCATCAAGCCATGCTGTGGCAGTGTCCCACATAAAACAGAGGAAGATTGGCACAGATGTTAGCTCAGCAACAATCTTCCTCAAGCAAAAAAGAGGAGGATTGGCAGCAGTTGTTAGCTAAGGGCCAGTCTTCCTCACAAAAAGGAAAGAAAAAGAAATTCAGTGGTTCCTTTTTAAAAATTTTAATTTTTCACTGTGGTAAAATACTTGTAACAAGAATTACCATATTAACCATTTTTAGGTGTATGGTTCAGTAATATTAACCAGATTCACGTTGTGCAACCAATCACCAGAACTTTTCATCTTACAAAGTTGAAACTCTGTGCCTATTAAACAACAACTCCCCATTTCCCCCACATCCCCCACCCCTGGCAACTGCCGTTTTCATTTCTGTTTCTGGGAGTTGGCCTACTCCGGATAGCTCAAATAAGTAGGATCATACACTGTTTGTCTTTTTGTGACTGGTGCGTTCACTTAGCCTGATGTCCTTAAGGTTCATCCATGTGCTAGCATGTGCGTGCGTTCTTTTTTAAAGCCTGCTTTTTTAAAGTTTCTGAATTTCCTTACAGAATTTGAAAAGGATTTTCCCCAAATGGCACATTAGCATTTTCCATTTTGAGTAAAAACATCAAAAGAAAACAAAGTAATACCAAATATATATGCCAACTGCTTCATACCACTTTTCTTTACCATTTTTATCATTTTTTGTGCTGTGCTCTCTTTAATGGTTATGTATGATGTAATTTCACATCAACACTTCGTAGCATGAGGTACAAAATATATTTTCAAAGTAAGCTATGTGGTTTTGAAATTGTAGTGTATTAATATTAATGATCACACTCATGCTTTTTTAGTTTATTGCCTGCTGAAAAGTGAAACTAAAATTTGGCATGTAGTAAACTCAGTGTTTGAATTAGATGTTCGTTTTGCCACAAAGAAAGGAAAAAAAGAGCTTTTGTTCTAACTTCTTTTTAGGTATTTTTCCCTATCCTTAGGAAACAGAGCATTAAACTCTTACAGAGTAAGAAGGAAACACAGGAAGGAAGTAGGAAACACAGAGCATTAGTGACGAAAACCTAATTTTAAAGTGAGATGTGGCTTGGCATCGTGGTGGAGGAGAAGGAGGCGCCTGAGCTGTGAAGTTGTATTTGGACTTGAAGGCCAGCTCTTCCTCCGCTGCTAGCTGTGTGATCTTTTGGAATCTTAGAATCTCTATTTTCTCACCTATGAAATTGGGTTTGAAATAAACCTTGCGTGTTTATTGTGAGGATGAAATCCCATGTAAATTGCTGGCACATAGTTGTGCTATGGTGGCATTTAAAATTAATAAACATTCAGTACTGAAAACTAACGATGGGAACATCTTTTAGCTAAAACGGAGTAATACTGCAGTTCCACAACACTGGTACCTTTAAAGATTGGCACCTGAGCTAACAACTGTTGCCAATCTTTTTTTTTTTTTTTCCTGGTTTTTCTCCCCAAACCGCTCCCCGCCCAGTACATAGTTATATATTTTAGTTGTGGGTCCTTCTAGCTGTGACATGTGGGACGCCGCCTCAGCATGGCCTGATGAGCGGTGCCATGTTCCACGCCCAGGATCCGAACCGGCAAAACCCTGGGCCGCCTGAAGCAGAGCGCTCGAACTTAACCACTTGGCCACCGGGCCGGCTGCCTGCACTGGTACCTTTAGAAGATATCTTTTTATACTTGATTTGTATTTAGTTAGATTTGTTAAACTTATACTTTGACGATATGTTGATTTATTGCACACTGAGTATCATTTCATAGTCTGCAGTCTACTGTCCCAGTCTTATAGATGACATTTACTTCTTAATCTCCTTTGAGAAAAACATTTTTATTAAGTGGACTTTTAAAAATAACTTATTATTAGTTGTCACTTATTATTGTAGAATTCCATTAACCAAAGTTCCTGAAAGGAAGCCCATAAAGGGAAATCTAGATGTTAACAGCTTTAAATAGAGTATGTGTGGAAAGATCCAGGAGAATAATATGAAATATGATGAAGCACTGGATTCTTTGCCCAAGTTCAAAGAAACAAAAAAATCTATACAAATTACCAGAGCTGAGCAGCAATGTGTAATTTTCACAAAATGAGTTGACAGAGAACAGTATCCTGAGAGAAGACTAAAAAGAAGGTTAGTAATGTGAGTGTAATTGATCTCTGGTATTTTGTGCTTATTTTCAAGTTATAGTTTGTATTTTCAGATTATGCAGAAATAAGAAATGTATCCTAAAACTACTTTGAGAATGGAGAGCTGAAACTATATGGAATTCAAAAAGGAAATTACACTTTAAATTCTACTCACAAATAATGGCTTTTTAGTAATGTCCTCAGGACATTTGTAAAGCTCTTTGGAGTTCTCATAGCCGCACAAATGTGAATCTAGAAGAGCAAAACTTTGATTAGAAACACTGTGCGGTCCTCCATCTGGCCGAGACATTGAAATTGAAACGAGTAAGCGCCTCACTGCACACTGGCTACCTTGGCAGCTAAACAGTCCTATTACATGAAGTGCTATTAGATGATTTTTCTTATTTCAGCGTATTTTGTTTTATTGCACTGCAGTAGCTACTGGGTGTGAGCAGTTTATTAGCATCTGGGAAAATGCTGTTCACATGGATTTTTGCCGTGCTAACATCTTAATAAAAGCTCTGTCAAACTCTTCACTTACTTCTGGCAAAGTAAATTATCTGGGCCTAATACAGATCTTCCTCACAGAGTGTAGTGAGGTCTCAAAAACCAAAAGGTGTTCTAAGTAGATTTTTTTATCTTTATGTTGTCCAGTCACAATAACATTTAGCTAATGTGAATTTCAACTCTAAATTTCAAGATCACATATTATGTGTACCTTATTTTTTCATAGGTTCCTTATCCTCAACTTCTCCTGAGATATCCTATCTTAAGACTGTGTCCTTCCCAGAAAAAGCTGCAGTGTGTCCAACTCGGTGCCGAATACTGGGGATGTGTAAGTGCCACAAAGCAGAAAGACCACTTATCAAGTTCTTCTCGAGAGCATCAAAGTCTGAAAATCCTGGATTAATTCTGAATTGATTGCCCTAAAAGCATGTTTAATTTTACTTAAAGAGCAGGTGTATGTTAGAGAAAGCCTTTAAGCAGGGAATGATCTTTTCACTTGTTTGTTCTCCTGACTGACCTG